GGGGGGTCAGAGGAGCCTTGTAATATATTCTTTAATGTTAGATAATATACAGTTTCAGCAATAGTCATGCAGTTGATGAGCATATTATTTGAAAGAAGACAGGCTGAATTCAAAGTATAAGCTGTAATATTTGCATATCAAGCAACCCATGAAAAAGAATTGATTATTAGGTATCATATACAATTCTGATTTCAGTAATTCATACTCAAAAACAACAGCATTAAAAAGATATATAAAAAAGTCACTAAAAATGTAAATACATAAGAGTTTGTAAGTGATGATCTATAAAGGAAGATGCAAATGTGCAGACAAAAACGATTTCATTGGTTTACCGAAATATGTTCCTTTTCAGGGACAGTTCATCCTGAAATTAATGGTAGTTACCAGTAGTAAAATAATGACACAACAGTTTTAATATAAACTATTAAACTAATCTATGATACCAATTTTGTCAGAAGCTCTATAAAAAACTTACTATTGTATAGTCTAAAAAAGGTTTCTCTATTCAGTATAGAGTAAGGTATCACAGATGACACAGGTATATGACAGGGGCATGTATTAAATATATATGTTATAAGTCATCTCTAACAGGAATGTCTGGGGTTGTTATTCCAAGCATTGAATTGATTAACATACTACTTCAGACAGTTGATGCCATATCCTGATAGTTTAATATCATACAAGTATGTAAGTCCCATTAGAATATTAGCTTATATAGCATTGATTTTTCATGCAAATGCCATTAGTTAATAAGTTTCGGGATCAACCCTAGGAAAGGATCAACCATTTCATTCTATAGATGATAAATATAATAAAATAAAAAATATAATTCTTTAACCTTGCAAGCTTATCTGAAGTGCATGAATATCAACTGTAAATGCAAATTATTTGTAATTTAATATTAGATGACAAATTTAAAAAAAACAGCTTTTTCTATACTTCTGTAAAAATGAATATATTTCAAATAACTTGTTTTATATAACATGTATCAATGATTTGGATTCAAAATTATATACTTGAGCATATTACTTACTCTATACATGTACTGCAAAACTATTAAGATTTATATATAAATTTTCAATATATGTGAAGAAACATAATCAGTAAACAGTGCTGATGAGTATAAGAAAAAAAATCGCTTATGATAAAGGTTATGAGGCGGTTGTATAAGTCAGGTACAAGGTTTTATACATACATAATAACATATACATGTATTAAAGGTCAATTTTCCAAGTAATTGTATCCTCCTGAAACCTAGGAGATGAATGTAAACATTCTTCAATACTTACTGGAAATAAGTTCTACATCCATGCACAACTGTACCTCGATCTATTAGGAATTTTAGTCTGGAGCTATAGATACACATATTTAATTCTGACTGTAGGACATACAAAATCCTGCTATCAGCTCAAAACTGTATGAACAAATTCTGACAAGAATAGATGAAGTCCAGTGCTTATAGCTTATTGAATAACTACTTTCCTTTAACAACCATGCACAGAATACTTGCATGAAAATGGAATGAAATATTGTACTAGCTGACCTTTAGAGATTCAACAACCAAAAAAAACATACATTGTACCTTACTGTCATTTTTCAGTCTGCCAATATAATTAAATTGACCATTTTCTCATATTTATAAGACTTGCAGTTTATCATACTACTTGAAATGTTTATATAAATGATGCAGCTCTTACCATAAGACCTTGATGAGGTACAACTCTACGACCTGGACCTTGTGATGATAAGGCATTCCTGGTTGGTGTGCCACCAGCAGAAGGTGGGGCAGGTCTGCGCAGCTTAGCACTGTATACTGAAGAGGCATGGGCATCAACTGTATTACCAACTGTTGGATGGAGTGAATGGGGATTAATATCCTTTATTGGAGGAAGTGGGACATTTTTAGCAAATAAGTTCTCTCTTGATGCAGTACCAGAGGCAACTCTACATTGAGAAGGCATAGTCTTAGTACTGGGATTTGTTCTGGTATTAGAATTTGCTCTAGAATTAGAATTTGTCCTGGTATTAGAATTTGCTCTGGACTGAACAGATTTACCAGGAACCATTATTACTGATGATCCGTTTACAAGAGATGCTTCTGCATGGTTAAACTCTTTTTCTTCTCCTTTTTTCTGTAGCATCATTTTGAGTTTTTTGTTGACATTGTAGGCTTCCTCAAGCAGTACATCGGTATCTTCTTCAGAAAGGTCAACTGTTTCAAGCATTCGCATCACTTCGTCTGGATTAGTAAGATCAAACTGAAACATTTCATTTGGTTTAACAGCTAATGAAGATTCAGGTTCTTCGTCGGGTATAAATGTTTTTTCGTCACCCTTCCCTGTCAAATCAGTTGCTCGGCTTTCGAGTTCAATGCCCGATTCAGGCGTCAGACTATCATTTAATCGGCGCGGTGAATCCGTTTCATCGTCAATTTCAAGTTCATATCTTTCTGACAGAGAGGAATGTTCCCTTCCATCGTGATCGTCAACTTCTGCCATCTTCGTTAACAGGAGAATGTGTTATTCGTCGTTGAAATGGATCACATTTTTGAATGGTGTTGACATTCGTTACGGAAGTCGTTTGGAGAACGCCACCTGTCGAGAGGATTAAGCAACCGTCTACGAAACTAACAGTAACACCGTAGACCAATTCAGTCATTAATAAATGATGTTCTTAAACAGGACACAGTTACGTGAAAGTTTAAAATTACCTAATATTTATAAATTTATAAATTAATAAACAGGAAGGTTGAAAAATTTAACAATTTTTACAAAAGAAAAAATATCGCACATATGTCTATGATAGTTTTTCTAGCTTCGTAACTTCAGAATCCAGCAAAAAACTACTGACGGCGGCAAACACAAATTTTGATAAAGGTACAGTACTGTACACATCTTTTATCATAATCGTTACTAAAAAATACTTTTTAGTTTAATGATACATCGATATTTTAAAGATCGGAATGTTATGTTTATTTTTTTCCGTTCTGAACATTTTAGGTCGTTTTTTTCCCCGTTGTAGTGGTATCGTCTACTGTAGTTATCAGTTTCCGCGCGTTATGTATTTCCGCGCAGCCATTTTATCAAGCTATATCTCGTAACTACATGACCTGCTGGACACAACACAAGGATAATTTAGACGTTTGGCCATCGTCTGTAAACTGACACAAAAAATACCGGAAGTTCGTCCGAAAAACATCAGAAATAATCACTGATTAAAAATACACGCATAAATATTCAATTTTGCTTAATGCAATTTTTATCTTGATAAAAATGAGCCCTTACCTGAAAAAACGGTGATATATTTCATTCATGAACCAGTTCTTTTTGGAGTCTGACAAACGTACGAAAATCATGTCGTTTGCAACTGAGGCTACATCTCATCCCCGATTTTTTTTCCACTTCCGAAGAGCCAAGGAGACATTCTTATATTGATAAACAGTGTTTTCAATGAAAAGTTAACCTTGTAATGCAATGAACTTCCAATTTTAAACAGAACAAAATGAGAAATAACTTACCAGCAACCAAAACCGGTATAAGACTGCAGATTTTTTTTAACAGATTCCAGTATTATATTTTTAATTTTATAACTAAATAAATATAATAAAAAAAAAAAAAAAATTCAAACATGAATTCGTTCAATTTGACATCTTGTAAAAATCAATTAAAAACGTGAAATTTAAAAAGATTGTTTTGATAATTAATTTGACGATCAAAGAAGCTTTAGTTCTAACAGGTCACTGTAGAGAATTTCTTTTTAGTGTATTCGAGTTATCTTTCTTTGAACACTAAATCAAAATAGACACACGGAAACATATGACGGCTACTTCCGACGGGAGAAATTTGTTAAAATAGTTTGTTCTGATATTTTTTTAATACAGTTTTATGTTGCTAGTTTTTTGTTTCCATTAGTAGATTGCATACATGTTTATGACAGTCATTCATAATTTCAACAGTTTCCTGGCGCGGTTGCTTCTTAAGTGCGCGGAAACTGGTAACCTGAGGATATGAAAACAAAAAATCCATCAATGATTAATTTAAAAACGGTGATCATTAGACTGTAGGCCTAATTGTATTGGTATTTACATAAATACTTTATTTTACAGATGGAAAAAGTCAGCAAGTATGAAATATCCCCCTTGATTGCCATTCTCAACATGATAAAGGTCAACTACTTTGGAGAAACAGAAATTTACAAAACACTTCTAGCAGTTCTTTGCGATTATGATACCAGAAATCTAATCAATAAAGAAAAGGTAAATATTGACAATAATCTCATAGGTATCTCATAGGTAAGACATCAATGGAAACCCTGTGGCTTGTAATGATGTTATTTATCTGCATTTCGTTAATTGATTGGTTGATGATGGAGTGCGCAAAGAATGGCATACATTGTATGACATTAAATATATCTAGACGTTTACTGAAGTGTAATTGTCGCACTAGTATTAATTAATATTTACACATGGACGGATAAAATTTGTGTGCATGATCATTCCAGTGCACGTTTAATCTATTTTTAAAACTGTTCAAACTTTCAGCATTAACCACTTCAGCTGATAAATTGTTCCAATTAGTAACTACACGATTGCTAAAATGTTCTTGGTGGTGTTTAAGCGGCATTGTTTCTTAAAGAGCTTTAGCTGGTGACCTCTAGTTGCCGGATAGACAAAACACTTTACAAAATGAACTCCTGACTGTCCACCACATACATTTTATGCGCAGTGCAGCTATCGTATCTCAGATATTTTTGTCATATTCTAATTTGGTTTAATTTCTTACATTAAAATCTTTTAAAAAAAATACTGCATCAGGAAAGGAAAATGCAAGTAAGAAAGGAAAAACATAAGAACTAGACTGGGATTAAACCCCAGGAACTCCAATCTATAGATGCATGCTCAAATTAACTGAGCTACCCGTCACCTATCACCGGCTAATTGACTTACCATATTTGCCGTAATTAGCGCCCTTCCCCCTTTTTTCAGGAGGAATGGAACTTATATAAGGCCCTCCTCATCCAAGACCTGACCAGGCCAGTCAATGATTTACAGTATACTTTAAACAGAGATTTATGTCTGGTGATCATTGCTGAACTTCCTGTGAAGCGGATGAAAATATTGTATATCCAAAACTACAGCCCCATTAAATGTTTATCATGTCCTCTTGTGATACTGTAACAACAGTTGAAGTTACACAACTTGTTCTGGCAAAACTTAAATTTTATTTTGCCCTCACCTAAGCTAATTTTTTAAGCGCCCTTGGTGCTAATTCAGCAAGTATGTTATGTCCAGTTTTGCCACAGTACAAAGTGAGATTTCTCTCAGTTTCATAGTTAAAATGCTGGTTAAGGTACCACTGCTGTGTACAATAGACATTTTTGCAGGTTTTCTCTCTACACACACATATACATATATGTAAGCTGCAATTCTTACAGGATTGTCCCATTAAGTTACATTTACACTATTAAATAAATCTGGTTATGACAAATAAAGGAATAGGATCAAGATTCAACAGTGACCTGGTCACAATATCTTTGTATTCTATGATTAGCTTTGATTAGAATTAAATTTAAAATCTAATTACCTGCAATATATTTGTACATATATATTACAATTTGAATAAAGAGCTATGACGGAAAACTGACCATATTTCCCTAAGTCTGCATTTATGAAAATGGGAAAAAATGTTAATGAGTAAATAATTTGTAGCAGTGAAAATGCATAAACCAATTGAATATGAATTTTTGAACTGCTGAGATATTAAGTATTGTTAATATGATACTATTGTCTCTTAAGTAAGAACATGTCTCCATGGTTGTCCTACTAACTTAAATTGTTTACTCACAGACCAAGCACTACATCCAGTTGTTACTGGCTGACCAACAGGACCTGGCCAAAAGTCTCATCACCTTCCTTCCTGGGGAGCCAAATGCTGACGACATCCCTCTAGGCCAAAGTCCCATTACCAACACAACCACAGTTAATCTAAAAAGGTCACCAATGCACCTAGATATGTTTACTGAACATATTATTGTTAAGAAAATATTGCTTCAAATTCTTAGAATTGGTCATAACTCGTACAAATATGAGTCTTTTTCTAATGACTAAAACATCAATTATGTAATGAATAAATTATTTTAACATGTAGTAAAATTCTAGCCAATATGTCTTTAATTATTCCTGAATCATCTTTTAAAATTGACAACAGTATTATTGATTTAAAGGGGAAACAATATCATTAAAAGACTTTAAAACAAAACTAGCAACCAATCCAAATATTTGTCCATGAAAATTATGACTTAAGTCAAAATGAATTATTTTTTAAAACTACTTGCAGAAGTCCATAAATTTAAAAGCTTTCTATTGAATTATTCATATTATCTTTATGCTCAAAATTTCCATATTTTTGTTAACAGGCATAAAAAGAGCAGGCATAAAGCTAAAAAGAAAAGTAAACACAAGTCAAAACAGTCCAACATAAGGTGTAGAGTGGTGTTACAGCCTCCTTATTTAGCTACACCACCGAAGGCAAGTGACAGTTCTGTGGCAGACCTCACAACTGGAACACCAACAACAGTCAACAAGTATGCTACATCAGAAGCGTCCATAACACCCGCTCCAACAAAAGATTCAGTTTCTCCACTGACATCATTTCCAGAGGAGGTTTGCAACACCCAAAACCTTTCATCCCGATGTGATTCTGAGGTAATTCATTCTGAAAGCATTAGAAGCAAAAGTCCGATCTTTTCTAACAGCAATGCAAAGCCTGTGGTAATAACCACTGCTGTGAATAATGACAGTAAATGTTATCCCATGCCTTTTTCCATGTATGACAGCTGTGGCTTTCCGCTGAAGAACTTCCGTGAAACTGGCCAAAAGTTATCACCACTTGTAAGTCACAGGCAAACATCTGTCAGTGCTGCAGATATTGGTACACACATGACAATGCCACTGGAAAGTATTTCTCAGCAAATTATACCTGAAACCAAAATGTCTGAATTGCCAAGTCTAACGTCTGTGTTCCTCAACAAGCCTGGCAATAGCTGTACTCTACCATCAGCAGTTCAACCATACCACAGTGCTTCAAGAATGCTGCCACTATATAACCTTAGTAGAAACCTCCCTAGAATGGGCGATCAGGTAACCTATTCAACTTCATCTCATGAACCACACATGAACTCTGGACTTGAACATCCCTCACTTAGCAATAATTGTGTATCCGTTTCCCATAGAACAGAGCCTACAGTTCCTGTTCAAGCAACGCTGCCATACAAAGCTTTCACGGATACTTGTCTTCCCCACAACTTCATCCACAAACCAGAGGCTCTGTTACCAGGTCAAACTCCAAAGGCTTACAATCCAGTTCAATGGGCAACAAGGTTTGAGCACTTCTCTGCCATGACAGTCGGGCGGACATTCCACAACAATGCTACAGGTCATCTCCAGCCTCCACCTGTTTCCCAGTTAACATGTACCACTGGTCACGCTTCCCAAAACCCTCCTGTTCCACATCTGTACACACTGCCTAAAACATCAGCACAAGTGCCATTTATCCCCAGTCAGGTGGAACAACATGTGGCACAGCTATCCCATGCCAAGAGTCCTCTACACTACACTATGGCTCAAACATCTCATTCAGCTGGTAAAAAGATCTTCCTGGGAACAAATTCAAATCTCTCTGCATTCCCATACACTAGGCAGATGGTTCTCCCAGACGGTCAGACACAAAATCTGTATTTAAAGAGATCATCAATCAACATACCCGACATTAATGTGACATCTGATATTGACAATGCACAGACTAGTAGAGCAACGGGATCAGGCAACAGTTTCCTAGAAGATCCTAAACAGGGAAACACAAATGTTCCACAAGTTCCGCTCCAGAATGTGAGGGATGTGAATATAGGTGTACCAAGGACTGTATCAGCAGACTGTAGCATGCTGCAGCAGATCGGAGACGCTAAACAAAGCCTCCAAGCTCCAGTGCCCTTCTTTATAGCAGACCCTCGTATGTCCCAACTTCAACATCCAGAAAATATGGATTTATTAGGAGGTCGAGGGGATGCAAACATCCTGGAAGCTTTGCCAAAGCCAAGGAAGGTTACTATGTCGGCCAACTCAAGTGTCAGGAAAAAGCTGAGGTTAACACCCAAGGTTTCTAAACATCAAGCAAATAAGGTTTTGTTTTGAAATTGGATTTTATAGAAAGATGATAAACATTACAGATTTTTAGGTAAGGTTCTTGAATGCAAAATATTTTATCATTTGTTATTTATCTTCACATGATGTTAGGGTTACTTCACATTGTGAGCAACATGTTAAAAGTTCAAGTATTTATCATGAATTCCAAGTGTTCAAGAGAGTTCTGATTAAATTTATCTGTGTATTTTTATTATGTTTTTAAGGGTGTATTTATATATGTACAACATGTATTTATAATCTACTTTTTCAAATGTACTGAGTGTCTTAAAAAATAATAATTCATGTTTCACTATTCATTAAATATCACTCCAACCAACAAATGAAATAATAATTTTGAGTTAATACAGCTTAACCCTTTCACCACTGTAGACCATAATGGACCCCTCCATATCAATGCATGGTACTGGTAGAGTCTACTAAAGTTACATAGGGGGAAAGGGTTATGAATGTTTACTGCGTAGACATGAAATACCAGGTATGCATATTTTTTTTATGGAAAATGTTCACCAATTGTAATTGCTCAATGACATTTGCCAGTTATTCAATTTCTATTGTCATTTACTACTTTCCATCAAATACCTCTGAAGTTTATACCTTGCATTTGGTAAGTTTCAATGAATGTGTTCATGGACACTTTATGCATAATTTGATGCTAGTGCAGTTTTGATGTTCTGTCAAATGATGAGGAAATGCACCAAAAATAGAAACCTGCAGAAATGGCAGTTGGCAAATGGTATTGAGGGTTCTGTTAATTCATGCAGAAAAAAAGAGTTTGCCTATTTCAAAATATAGCATTTTCAGGAAGCAATCCTGTCTGATCTGCAAATGTCAATGCATTTTTTGAAAGTCTGTCATGACTCCTCAGAAAGCAACATTAGGGCAGCCCCTATGTCATACATAATGGTCCAACAGGTCAAACTTTTTTGAATGCAATGAACGAAAGCAGTCAAGTTTTTGACATATGGCAATTAGCAAAAAGCAATTAACTTGGCAGTGAACAAAATTAATGACAATTTGATAGATTTTTTTTTAAATAGAAATGGCAAAACGGAAAATGGAAATGTTTTTGGTATTCAATAATTGGTTTGTCTGTGCACAAAATGCCACAGCGACACTTCATTCTAATAGACTAGATTCTTCATTTATTCAGGTATGTCACAAGCAGTTTCAGATAGACAATATTTTCTCCTGGTATTAATCCTTTTTTTTCATTCAAATGGAGAGAGACTTCGAAGGGAGACATCTGGCCATAAAAACTGCTGAAAATATCTTGATGAAAACTGAAATGTACAGGCTTCGCCCACAGAAGGCTCATTAAGTACTGAATCTTCAAACCAAAACTCACCAACTACAACGGTAGCCTTTAAAGTAATTTTGTTATATTTAATGATAAAGCAATATTGCTTTCAAAGTAAACAATGTTAAGATTCACATTACTTTGAGACGTATGTTTTGGGTAAAAAAAAAAAAAAAAAAAAAAACCATGACAAAGAACATTTTTAAAGTAATTTATTTTTAAAACATATCATATTTCAGTGATTTGTACCAATGTAGGCCTGCAAGCAGGTCTACACCATAATGTGAACAATCAAATGAAACTTCCAATCAATAGCAATGACATACCACAATCTTCGACACAAAAATACATTCACATGTCATTCAAGTACAGTGTGCATCCCATTTTCCCTCCAAAAAAGGTTAACATTATCATGTACAATAAAAGACATTTACAATACACGTTTGTAAAGCATGTTAGGACTTTGTACATATCTTATGTTGTTGATGAACGCAATGATATTTTTACTTTCACAATGAAACATGTTTAATCCTGGCATCTTAAAACATCCAACATGGTGCTATAATAAACCTTTGTATTCAGACATCCTAACTAATCTGACCAATATGCTGTCAGATTAGACAGGTTCATTGTGTTTACATTACCAGTTTGTTACGACGAATACAACTGAATATTATTTGCTTCAGTTATTAATCAAACTCTTCCAATTCTATGTGTACTGGGCTTCATTATAAACATATTTTGTATATCTATTGTTGTAAAATAAAGCCGGTTTGTTCGATATTCTCCTTTATATACATGTTTCTAGAGACATTTTCTCAATTGAGTATGAATATTGGCCTCCAGTATATATACTGATAAATTTATTAGTAATTTAGACGTCTTAAAGCAAAACTGCATCCAATTATTAGCACTCAAAAACATTGAAACATTTTCTCCAGTCAGTATGAATATTGGCCTCCAGTATATATACTGATAAATTTATATCTGCAGGTCAACCTTCTTAAGGCTGACTGTCTAAAGCTATGCTCTGTCTATATTTATTCTAACTTTAATAGATTTTCCTCCCTTGTAAAGATATTCATCTGTAATTTTGACGTTGTGGCTTTATAATGCCTCGACTCTGTAGTTTTTGTTTATATCTCGTTTTCAAATGTTAAAATTTCAAACAATTTTCATGAAGTGTGTTGTGTGATTTACATGAAATATGTTGTAAATAAACAAATATGCTATAATACTGGCCATTGCAATGGTAATACATGTAATATACTTGACTTAATGGCACTCCTTACCATAATAGGATTTTTCCTTTACTGAAGCAATGCTTTCCTTATGGGGAAAACTGAAGGATGAGATCTTGGTTAAGAAGCAACAAGAAACGAAAGCTATTTATTGTAATTGCATTTTAAATACTTTTTTCCTCAATTTCATTATTTGTAATACTGGTTGATCTTACAAGGTTCAGGCGAAATCATATCGCATCTAATTCTTCATAAAAATATCTTATTTTGCATAATACTGTAGAAAATATCTTTCTGTAGATTCATAGCGTACTGTACTTTATAATATATTTCACATTTACTATATTAGTAAAAAGATATGCATTCCGAAACACCCTGGTAAACTATGTCTCAATTGTATACCGGACTGGTTTTGGATTGTTCTGGTGTAAAGTGTGCACCCCTTCCGTGATATTATCATTTTCCCCTGAAAAAGTGTGCACTATACGCAAACATTTTTGGTATAATATTACACAGTATTGCCTACTGCAAAAAAAAAAAATCAAGGATTAATCATTTAAAAAGGCAAAAAGGGAAATTTCCATGTGAAATTCTACTTGCAGTACACTGAAGAATTGTTTGACCTTATGAAATAGTACCTGGTAAACATTCTGTATATGTATAGTAAATGAAAATAACATTACACCAAGTGTACAATTTATATGACCAGATGTAAATATTAACGCTATGGACAAACATTCATGAGTGAATAAAATGACCGAAGGAAAGTAAATCTTATTTAAGTTATAAGTTGTATCCATGTTTTTATCTATATGTCAAGCTTGCACTTTTGAGATTAATACTGGTTAATTGAATACTTCTCTAGCTTATATTTCTACAGTCAATACAAGTACCAAGAATACCAATTTCACGGAGACATTTTGTAAACTTTAAAACAAAAATAATAATTGATTTTTGTTTTTGTTGAATGCTTCATATTATGTGTTCATTTAGATCATATATCAGAAATGTAAATTATAATATTGTAGTATGCTGATCAATGATATGGTACTTCCTCTGTTACAAGTATTGAAGAGTTTTCCGATTCATTAGTCATATCATTAACCTATTTTCGGAGGTTGTTCAAAATAGATCTTAGTTTCCTTTCATGAGTAAGTATACACACATTGAAATTTATGTGTGAAGATCAATTTGAAATTCAGGTAACAGAGGCAGACCCCCACACTATTTGAATAAGATTTACAGAGACATCTTAAGCTTCAATTTTATTTTATAATATTTATTTTTCCATATTTTCACGCAAACAATACATTATAATATATTTGTTTTCCTTTCCTCTATTTTCATATAGCATCACAAATTGCAAATATAGAATTAAATTTCTTAAATATAAAAATACTTCTGTAAGTAATTTTGTGAATTATGTGAACGTGCAATAACTCTGGACAAGTATTCACATAATACCAGGGTATATAAAATGTACAGGTCTCACAAATTTGACTTTCACAGTGTTTTGACAATGAATCTCAATACATAAATAATATTGGTCCCATCAAGGGCTTACGATCAACATCAATATATTTTTAGGTACACACATTGACAGTTATAAAATGAAATATCACAATACATGCATGCAGTCGTGCTATAATATCCTTTTTACATTTTCACCACGTTATCTACTAGGACAGTCAATGTCAGAAATGAGATGTTTGATCACACACAAAATGACTGTTAAATTAAAAGATCATTACTTCTGGCACAATTTGTAGTATGACTACTGGCACATTATTTACTGTATACTGGGAATCTTTTGTCCAGTCTAACTTTCGCCATTCACTGGTAAAATCAATATTTGCCCAGCATTAATTTCACTCTCCACATGAATTAATTATATGTAGAGTGTTGTGTTAGGAGGCACAGTAGTCTAGTGGTAGGACGCTGGGCTCGTGACCAAAGGGTTGCAGGTTCGAGTCATGTCACAACACTTTGTTGTATCTTTGAGCAAGATACTTTAGTATCTTTGAGCAAGATACTTTACCCCGCTTGTTCCAGTCTACTCAGCTCAAAATGAGTACATGGTTGGGCAGTGCTAGAATTGCAGAATGCTAGCTGTGAGTGCCGAAATGGCAGCACCAGCTGTATGCTCCCCAGGGATTTGAGAAAGATATTGGCTGGTTGCAAAGGCCCTATAACCACGGATAATAATTTGTGAACCGCTTTGAGACGACCTTCAAACTATAATTGTAGGTTGTGATAAAGCGGTATATAAGAACCTCAACCTTGCTGTCAAGATAAATTCACCCTCACTATGGAGGCCAAAAACTGTGCAAATTAAACTGCAGTGAAACATTTTCTGTATAGTCATTTCTGTGTACTAGATCTTCAGCTAATTTGCTCCGATTCACTTATCATTATAGAATTAAAATTATGTATCTATTAACATGCTCATTGTTTCAAAGTATTGATATATTAACAAGAAAGTGTTAGTCTTCAATTTGAATGAGATCCAGCTATCAAAATATGTTGTGCATAAACATTTCTATTAAAGAAGAACAATACTTTGAACTAATATCTTTGTTTACCAGGAATAAATAACAAAAATCAATGTTAAGTGGTCATAAGTGTCTAACAGTTGACAAAATTGACAGAGCACTTTATTGTTGATAATGGATCATGACACTTGCAACTTTCTGATATGTATTTAAGCAAATTTTAACAAACAAACAAAAAAGAAAAAAAGACAGGTACTTTAAAATACATTATATTTTTTAAAAATAACTGCCAAATTGTATAGTGAATTATTTTTAGTAGATGGAAAACTGTAATCTTAAATAATAAGATTTAGGTTACCTTTTAATGTTATGGCATAATTATGTGTTTATGACTCAGCTTTGTTGCTTGAGTAAAATGATACCTGCATATTTACAATTTAATACTTGGATTTATCTTGATACAAATTAAAACTGATCACCAGTAAGTTATGTAACTGAGACAAAAAGCACAGAAGAGGTATATTGAGTTGTTTGATAAAATTCATCAAGTTAAAAATTAATACTGGTACATGTACTAACAAAACCAGTCTTAACCCACAATCACAGTCTCTGTTGCTTACTTTCCCATCTCACCAGGATAACACAACTTGCACACAATTGAAAATCTACTTCCAAAATACTCTTTGAAGACCTTCCAAATCTTCCACACTGCACTAGAAGACATTCTCCAACACAGTGAATTGTTTTTACATGCATGCAATGCAGTGTTTATTGTTATTCAAAGTCAGTTTTCATGGTAAGTTCTCTTTTTATTATAAATACTGGTTTACAAACAAGATGAAATTACTGTATAATGCTATATGTATTTGTAAATGATATATATCTTTCATTAAACTTATTTGAGCACAAAAATACTCTTCTTGGTAATCTCACTTACAGATTAAGACATCCACTGTACTCCATGGGTTATGCTCCCTTATGCTCTCTGCACCCCTGGAATATGTCATAGCAAAATTGAAGGCAAGTGGTTAGCTATTTGATTGGTCTCCAGTAAAAGACCTGACCAATCATTAGGCTGATACCTGTCCTTTGAAAATTACAGAGGAGCGACGCCCGACTACAAAGTCAGTAATATTTACCGTTATGCGACTGCGAGATTCTTTTGATGTACATGAAAGGATCAAACTAGTGTTCTTGTCTCATCTACAAAGTGGCGCACAACTATGCTTCAATTTTGCTATGACATATTCCAGGGATCAAGAGAGCGAAAGAGGATGAGAAGAAGAATGCAAATTGTGTCTTCTTACAGGGTGCAACGATATTACCCTACTGATTTTTTTTCAAGCAAGACTTTGGCCATCACTTTTACCTAAACAATGATAAAATAAATAGCATGCTTTTTTGTTCATCTTCACATGATTTTAGAAGTAGTTACCGGGAAGCAGATTAAGGTAAAACTATTAATTTCATATCTTTTCAATACATTGTTCTTCAAAATGATCCATTTTTAAATTAAATTGATGCATAACCATTCTAGTGTCTGTTGTGCTAGTCATGTAAGCATTCATCAAATGAGATAAAGGTCGCCGATAAGATTTCATATAGATTTGATAAAGCTGTCCTCCAGGGAAAGAGGTTGTGTTTTAAAGTTGTTTGTCATTTGTACCACCTCGTTAAAGTTAGCACCAAGTCCCGACAGGTGATGAAAGTAGCTCTCCTTTTCTACCTGGACGGTCAGATTGGCCACACCAATCTCCTTGAATATACTGCTTATCTGTTCAAATACAAACATACTCTCATGTTAAAGTGCAGAGTAATTGAAAGAAACTATTGCACCAATTTAGAACAGAACCATTAGCATGCCTTCAAGTTGAAGTGCCATAATATTATGGAAGAAATTAATTATTACTTCTTAGTGCTAGACAGTGCATTGCATCTCAATAACTAAAAGGTCCAAAGGGCCTGTATTGCTTATCCGGAAACTTGAACAGAAGAGATGTGGGTCAAGGTGATTCATAAGTTAAAAGCTATTCATCCCAGCAAGTTATTGACCAACAACCATTTACTCTTACCCGGTAACCTCATAGTTTCTTACAATTCTGCTCCATGTAGAATTTTGTGACACCTATTAACTTACCTGAGCTACCACCTTTTGTTCACTTGCATCAGGAGCAGCCTGTATGTGTATACTACCAAATACTTTGTCTGCAGTGTGACACCAGATCTTAGGCTCCCTGTATGACAACACCCCATCTACTGTCAGCAACTGTAATAAAATCATATATATATTTAGAATTCCATCGCACATCGCTATATAAACATTATTATAGGAAACTGCACTTATGGGACTATGAATGCAGTTGATCAGTGTCAGTTTGTCAGCATCTGAAAAAGAGAGTTAAATATAACTGTCAGAACATTCTATAAACTGGTCGTGAGCAATTGTCTGTCTAGCTGGCCACAACCTGCAGCTCTGATTGTTCAAACCTGTTGCAATATCGAGAAATATTTGCCACCATTTTGCCTCTGTAATGAGGACAAATTTATGACTGTGAAAAGAAGTACATAATGTATACCAGGTATAGTTACTACACATACGAGACCAGGTACAGGGTGAAATTAACACTAGGTTTATATGGACTCTACCAGTGAAAGGTGAAAGATTCCCAGTATATGGTATCTTTATCCCCTAACTTTGTCATGCTGGTGTTGGGGTTTGTCGACACACCATGGAAAAAACACATGCCAGACTTAATCCCCAACACTGGAGTGTCTCAGGACTACAACACGTGAAGTATACTGTAGGTGAATGACTCAGAGTTTGTGACAAACATTGGCCTGTATGCTAGATAACTTACCTTGCTGCACGCTGTAGCCAGGTCCTTCTCCATTCTTACTGGCATCCTGAGGAGGAGGATGAGTGAGGTCTCCTTCAGTAGGGGCATCACACTCAACAGGATCATGGTGGCAATGAACAGAGAGCAGATGGGATCCGCAATGTTCCAGCCAAAGTTCTCGATCAACAGTGATGATATGATCACGCCAACACTGCCCATCGTGTCTGCTAACACATGCAGGAATACACCTACACAGGAATAAAATATTCACATTTAGTCTCCAAATTGACACATGAATAGGGTAAGGGGAGGGTGTTTGGGTGGCTGAGGGGGGGTAGAGTGTTATGTAAATTATTTGATTTATTCATTCAAAAGATGTCAATATAACTCAGAGGAATACAAAAAAAAAATCTACTGAGCTTTTACAAGATCCTTTGTATAGAACAGTTTTTTACAAAGAGTCCATTAGATAATGAAGACAAGTATTGCTTATAATGTTACCAGTATGTAGGATTAAATTTAAGCCATAACACAACTCTTTTTTTTACATAAATATCTCATTTCCATGAATCCCTACAGAAAGCATTGGAATATGTATGTGGTGCAAAGTTTCGGAGCAGAGATATGTGATATGGTGGTCTAGTTTTAGAACTCCGATAGCAAATATGAAGAAGCATTTTACATTCCTACAATACTTTAATTTTCACAAATGGGACTTTGAATCTTGCCTTTCTGTCCACATTGGTGGGTGAAATCGGTGACAGATATTGTCTAGCTATGCAGACAAGCTTTTTAAAATAGAAGCCATACGATGCTTGGATCTGGTCAAACAATGATAAAGTATACCTTGACCAGATTCACCAAGATACAAGGTTCTTAGGGAGTATTGTCAATACACTGAAATACAGGTATTGTACCTCAGAATTTGAGCTTCACCATACAAGACATGGGAAGACACATATTGGTGAATAAATGAGAGTTCAAACAAGGAATCATCATTCAAAGCAGATCAAATTACCAGTATATTTAAATGTAAAAAAAAATGAAATATACAATTTTAATAGGGTAGCTCGTTCAAAATAACCATCCCATTCTTGCAAAAAGGAAAGAAAAGTTTCTTGAAAGGTAAAGAATATAATTTGGACATTCCAGTCTTTACTGGGTGTGTACTGGTGTATCATATGACTTAAACATTTTATTTCAAGACTGCACAAAATCATTCCAGTCCAGTATAGTGCCAATTTACAAAATAAGGATAAGGAAAGATGAGCCGGAAGTGAATTTTATATTGAGTTCAGACAACTTTCTTGTAACTTACCCTCCATATTGATATTATGATCCTTTTGACTAGGTGCACCGTGAGAATGTCCATGCTGGTCTCCTCCGTGACTGTGGCCATGTCCCCCATGACCGTGAGTGTGGGAGCTCCTAAAGGCTGTTATGCCAACTAAGTTCACTAGTAATCCTATCACAGATACAGTCTGAAACAGTGAAACGTAATATTTAAAGTGGAAATGGGAGTATACAAGCATGACTGAACGTATATTCAGACAAGCCTGATTAGGCCTAATGTTAAAGTTAATGGGTGAGAAAGCATTGAATATTTTTCAACTCCTTGCAATTTCAGTGATGTAGGCTATGATGCAACATATATTTAAAAATGAAGGATTCAGACAAATTTTGAATCAAGACATCAGACAGATGGTAAAGAGTTAAATGAAGACAACAGAAAGATGGTGAATGAAGATATCAGAAAAAGATGATAGAGACATCAGATAGGCAATGAATGAGGGCATCAGAAAGATGTTGAATACAGACATAAGACAGGCGATTAAATAGGGCATCAGAAAGATGGTGAATGAAGACATCAGGAAAAAGGTAAATACAGACAAGAGATGAATGAGAGCATCAGAAAGATGTTGAATACAAACATCAGACAGGCTATGTATGAGGGCATCAGAAATATGTTGAATACAAACATCAGACAGGCTATGTATGAGGGCATCAGAAAGATGTTGATTACAGACATCAGACAGGCAATGAATTAGGGCATCAGAAAGATATTAAATACAGACATCAGACAGGCGATGAATGAGGGCATCAGAAAGATGTTGAATACAGGATTCCGAGTTTATTAGAAATTTACACTCTGTGATACTTACAAGAAGTCTTTCTGTTTTCACCACTGGTGGTTCATGTAACCTCTCAATAGCTTCAGTAAATACAAATATTCCAATGACAACAAGGAAAAGGCCATTTATAAACCCAGACAAAATCTCCACTCGGTCATACCTGTAAACAGATGATCGTAGTTAAAGAGAATTTCACATTACATCGATTTAAAAAAAAAAGGAGGCATCAAGATGATACATCTTTATGTACTGCAGTGAAGGTTTAGTTAGCAATGCACTTTTTAAAATCAAGTTCGAAAATAATTTAATGTAAAAAAAAATAGATCTTGGTTTGATCCTCATGACAGCAGATCTTATTCCAAAATCTATGCAAACATTCACACCACATAAACAGTTGAAGAAACAAATTCAAAACATCACACAAAAGAAGTGTTGGAGGCATTACAAATATTTCAGTCATGTACATTTTTATATGGACTGTCATTCTGCTAAATTCAAACCTAACATCAACGTTCAAACAGATATGATACATATTATTCATAATAGTGGCAAGGACTTGATATATGGGAGGGTGATGGAGATACAGAAGGGTGATGGAGATACAAAGTGAAAATGACTGGGTACATTTAAATAGGAGCAAGGAATTCCTGTTCTGGTCCTACAAATGTTAACACAGTCAGCCTGTCAATATTTGGAATACAAACCCATAGGAGAATATCCGAGTTGCCTTCCATCGGCTCATAATGGCTGCATAAAGTCCCATGACCAGGGCCGAACAATCAAATAACATGTGGAAGCCGTCGGATATCAGACCTAGACTGTTGGTCCACGCACCATACACCAGCTCAACAAATGTAAATATCTAGCAATGAAGATGAACATGAATTACAATCATGACGTATGTAATTTAGCATAATTAACCATCCCACAAATGGATAAGTAAATAAGATACTGATCACTTATGAATTTCTTACGGTAACTTAAGCTTAAATAGTACTCATAAACAATTTCATGCACAAAATAATTTATGTGCTATAAATACAACTTACATTGAAAAAAAGCATCCCCCTTTCTGTTGACCATTATCCTGTATATTGTAGAAGAATGACTGTTATCATCCCTAAGGAAGTTCTTATGGATATCAAATATTGATTTAAATAAAAATCATAACAAATCAGTGGTCAATTTAACTTACTAAATTAATACACAGGAAATAAAATATTTTGCGTGAATTAGAATCCTCCAATATTTGGCGTAGACCGTTCTTGATGATTGACAGCACTGAATGTGTGGTTTTATGTAAAGCATCTCCCGTAAAGCTATAGAGGGGCAGTCCCGAGGGGGAATACCCTACAAAGCTTCCGCCCTTGCTTGGCTTACTAGGAAATCCAAGTATACTGGAAGCTGTATAGAAAAAATAGAAAGCTTGTATTGAAATGTGATTCATGAACAAAATTGTCTTTAAGGATTAATTAGAAAATATTGAGATGGTCAGAGTTACAACTATTTGTACCCCAAATTTACAAATTATACAGCTTGAGATTGTCCACCTCCCTTTCACAAAGTTATATTTGAAGTATTTATGAGGAAAGTGTAAAGCCACTGGAGATTTGCCTGGACATGTCAGACACTTACCAAGGAGGAAGGTCATAAGGCTGAGGACCACGCCCCCTGACAACACATGGTCTTCTGTGACGATGTCACGTAACTTGTGAAGGGTTGTTATCTGGGCCATCATAGGATGATTCCATGTCAGGCCTAGAAACAGTGCACTAATTGTGATGGCGTATGTACCATACACAGCTGTCTTTGGAGGCTGGAGGTGGTTAGTCACAACCGCCTCAATATAAAAGTCCACCACAAACACAAACAGTATCACGAGTGTCAGAGGAAACAGAAGGTACAGCCATGACTCTATGTAACTCTGAAAACAGAACAAGTTACTATGTGTGATAAAGAAAAAATAATACAGGCTTCAGCTGTCAAACAGCAGGTTATGTAAAGCTGTTAAAACTGCAACAATATTTACCTGTAGAAGCTTTGGGCCCAATTACACTTAATCCTTGAAATTCTTGAGTCATAATGGTTAATTTGATGTAATATCATGAATATAAAATACAATCTTTCTCTCTCAAAGAACACATAACTAAACACTTAATGTCACATTTGGCACAGGTTACCATAAAAAGTGTATCAATTTTTGCTTATTTTCTAAATTCAACAAAATATCATAAATAAGTTATTAGAATTTTTAAGTTCACATTATATCTTTTCTCAAATAATACATAATTAAATATAAGAAAACTAATGGATAAAATTCTCCTGCTTACCTCCCTTGTGAAGTGCATGAAGACCATCCAGGGAAAGAGCAGTATGGCCTGTAACAATGTAGAGAGGGCATGGAGTCTCTTGGACCCTCCTATGTCCACCGATAGTTTCTTAGAGGCACTGCTATATCCTACGTGTGTAAACAGGGTTATCGCCAACAGAACCACTCCTCCCTTTGTAATAGATACATCGTAAACATTCAGTTGGCATATATATCAGCTGTTTATCTTACCCTGACAGTGAGAAATTTTAATGAGACTCTGTTTGGTACCATATTGGAAATGAGAGAAGTCTACTTTTCTCTTAAGTATTAACATTATGACCATTCACCCTCTGTTTTAAAAATATTGAAGTATCTCCATCTCGCAATGATACACATGCATTTGAAACACATTTGTTATTCTAAGAATGAAATCGGTAAATCATATTATTTTTGTGAGACACATATTTATCATAATTATTCGCAAGGAAAAATACTGAATTTAAATATCTTACACTTAAATATCTTGCACAAATTCAGACACCAAAATGGAACATACATCACACGTAAATAAGAAGCTATTGATATTCCTTGACATTAATTAGAATCCCTGTAAATAATCTGTTGCGGAAAATAAACATTTTGAAAAATTACACTATTTACATTCGAGACCTAATACTACACTATGTGACTGAAGACTGAGAAAGATACGTACCTTGTGATCCGACCATCCAATGAGGTTGACAACATGGTAAAACAGGTGTGTAAAGATATTTTGATGTATTTCACTCGCTGTAAAGGTGTGTTAAGGAAAAAGGAAATCACAGACTTACTTGAAGAAATTGTTATCTTGTAATAGTCATTATTAGTAACCTTAAGTTATCAAAATGAGCTGCATTTAAATAACAGAGAAAATTAGTTTACTGCTACTTTAAAAATATATGCAAAAAACATCTATAATTTATAAAAACATTCTCTCATTTTTTGCAGATTTTTATTTTGTTTTTATATATTCAAGGATACATTCATGAACAGCGAGATTATCTAGTCTCTCATCATGATCAAACAGCAACAGTGTTATCACAGCTATTATGAAGAATATGGCCCCTCTCATCTGGAAAATATGAAAAATTATTCAGATATCATAAAACAAGACAACTTGCAGACCTTGTAGAGAAGTATAATTTTCTAAAGAGATTGATGTTCATGAAACAACTTGACACGGTAAACCGGATTTTTACATTTATTATTTAGTCAGAATTTGTAGTACACAGTACCTTTTTTTTTTACTGTTTATATAATACTTTAAGACATCTCTTTATCTGTTTCAAGTCCTTTTTTTCCAAAAAATTAGAAGTGCATTGTAATGTCCAGAAATATTCACAGTCTCTACCCCATCTAAACCTGGTAATGAGTATTGCAATTGTACATCTCCTACCCAGGATTGGTTTTGACTCTAAACGTCATTCATCCGCAGGGGATAAGATCAGTAAAACATGTTTACCAGGTATGACATATGTGTAATTCAAATTCAAAGGATCAAATATTTTAGAAAGAACCAAGATTTATTGGCGTTATTTTAATACCATTTTATCTGAAAGTTTTGAATCTTAACAAAGTGGATATAAAGCCAATTTCTTGACTTTCACCATTTTGAAATGACTAAATTGTACTGTGAACTGATGGGAATAGTGCAGTCTTTTAGCAATTTCAGTAGAATCAGTGATTGTGATATAATTTTATTGTTATGCGAGACTATTTCCACACATATTGTGAACACTTGTTTAACGTTTTGTTCCAGACATTTTTCACACTACAGGTAAACACAATTCTTTCATCCTCAGTATTCTCCTACAGTTAACGGAGAATAAATGTTGCTCTCCACGTACCTTTGAGGGGCCACCTCCGTTGTTTGTGAAAATAGCACATGCTCCTGCTACGATCACTAAATCACTATGCTCAAAAAGAAGGATTGTTCTGAAAACAAAGAAATATGTTACAAAGACTTTAATAAATCATGCAATGTAGTATGTGCACTAGTTACCAGAATACAAAACATGAAACAGGTGATTTTTGAGTTCTGGATTCATGCTTTTTCTGTGGGACTCAGCAACATTCCGAGGACCAACTTTATCTATCAGTTATGCGACTCATCACAATTTTGATGGAAAAAAATCTGAATTTACATGAAAAAAAATCTACAACAATCACGGCAAATCAAGCAAAACCTATTAAGTGAAAATCCTCTTTGTGAAAGTCTTTACTACTTCACTAGAATAGAAGGGGAATTACAATGTAGATGTTCATGGGACTATTCACATATTTGTTAACTTTGCTTTGTGATAAACGGCACACTTCTGCAATAGGAAAACATAGAGAGTTTTCACTATAATGTACCTCAATGGACCACAGAGAGTCAGTCCAAACAGCCACAGCAAATTGATGAGCCCACCAAACAGTGCATGCCGTATAACTCGGAACCACTGAAAAAAACAACGAAACACTCTTATTGTATACATTCTACTTGTCCCAACCAGAAATCAGAAATCACAAACAAGCAATTCTATTAACAAGAACAGTACAGGAACGAAGAGATAGGTACATATATTGGGAAAAGATGAAAAGTGTCTTTGTTTTAGTACTATACATTTCTTCACATTTGATATTTTATAGAAGATCAAGAGATTGCCAAACAATCTTTGAAGAGATTTCATTATAAAATTGTGATAATCAGACTGGAGAGCAGTCAATTGGGTTTATTTATAGATAGATATAACTATAATGTTCATAATTATCGGCATTGGTGGCAGACTGGAACTATATGAAGATGTGCAGTTACCTACATGATTTTTTGAAAGTCTTTTTCCTGATGAAAAGGGCTTCTGGAGAAGAAGTAATGGTATTGTACTCCTGAAAGAAAATGTCATTTTTGTTATAATAAGGTAAAGCAATCCAGAGAGCCTAACCTCCCGACAAACTTTGTTATCAAAAATCTGAAACATTACTCTGTATATAGTGGGCAACAATACCCTACCCAGAGATATTCACATACAAAACTTGGCTTTTGTATGTCATATATATTACAATTTCTGAGATATGCCCTGAACAAAAAGAATCCCAATGAACAAAGGGCCATAACTCTGTAGATGACAGGACATGAGAACAAATTACAGAATGCAACAAACTGCCATCTCAAAAGGTTCATATAATCAAATTGTGCAATTGTAAATGAAAGAGTATATAAAAAATGCCACTGACAGATGTAATGCAAATTAACCTAACGTCTCCTCCAGCAGAACTGGTGTAGGGATTATAATTTTAAGGAAAAATGTCTTCTGAAATGTAAAATAAAATAAAGTAACATCTGTGTAACCACTGGTGCGCTCATTCATCAGTAAATAACATGCAATCAAAAATTGCACAGAGGCTGTGGTTAAAAAAAAAATCAAGCCAAGCAAAACAACTGTTCTCTCAAACTGGACAAAAGTACCTAAAGCAGTGACTATGGTGTATGTGTGTGAATTATACAAATTGTCTAGCTTCGGGTAAATAATTATAGGTAAATAAACACTACATGTCATGTGTGGGATAAATAGAAAATATTTGTATAAAGTATATTCATGTATACATATAACATAACTATAAACAAAAAATGTAACTTTCTCAACAAAAAACAAGATTCTGAATCAACATTTGAATATTATATGCAAATTCTTTTATTCTATTTAAATACGTCACTTTCTATGTTATAATACATACGTATTTATACTTACCCTGCTTTTACAATGAAGAGGAACTGAACCACTGGAATCAACTTGAGTAAATCATAGGACATAAACAGACCCACAGCCCTCAAAAACTTTACCACCACCAAAAGAATCAGGTATGGACTTGCCCTGTGAGAAAAAAAATAACATGATAAACATCAATTTAATAAGCATTATATGAACGAGAGCTTTTACTAAAGATATCATAGGTTTATTTTTAAGAAATTCAATCACATTTTCTCTGAAATTTTAAAGGGCAAAACACATTAAATATCTGGTAGTTGTGTGAAAAGAGACAAAGCTCAAACTGTCAACACTATACCATAAAGTTTGTGTATGGTATATATATATATATATATATATAAGCTAATAAACACTTTTGTATCAAAACTGCTTAGATGAATTTGTATTTTGACACCATAATATGTGTTATCATATACTTGCTGTAGCTACATGAATTAGATGTGTGAATAAAGAAAGTCCTATTTAAGGTAAGTGATTAACAAACATTATGGAATTAATAGCATTTACAGCAAAAACAAATTGGGTGAGAACCAATGTCCAATATGGATAGGTTTAATTTGATAGTCACTAAGGTAGTAACACCTTTGACACCAGAAGGAGGAGTATTCTTTAGAGTTCCTTTAATCCTTTCACCCCTATGCAACTTTAGTAGACTCTACCATGTATTGATCTGGATGAGTCCATTATGGTCTACAGTGGTAAAAGGGCTAAACTGATGAACTGAAAGTGCTGGGCATGGAAGTCTTACCAGTTACAAGCAGAATTGTTGCCTTTGGTTTTTGATAAGTTTCAGCTATATATCTATTGTTGTATTCAGATTTTTTGTAGCATATGTGCATTTATGGAACTATGGTGGTGAAAGGGTGCAAATACCCCGAGGAGGTGTCGGTAATTTTGCCCTAAATCCTATTTATCTGGGTCGTTTTGTGCTAGGTTGTTTCGCCCTAAAAATATTTTAGGGGAAACATTTTAGGCCTGTTTAGTTATGTATTGCTAAAACATTCTCAATTGAAGCTTTACCTAGTATTCTTTGGGATTTTTTTTTGTCATTATAGACACATTTGACCTGTACATATAGTTGACTGCTAATTGTGCATACACCCGAAATTCTTCTGACAACATATATGTTCTTGCAACATGAAAACAGTATATTTTTCTTATTATATTTTTGGCGAACTGGATATAGGGCGAAACAACACGGATTCCCCAGAGGACGTGACACTGTCGCTGCAAATTGCCACCCTATGGTGTGAAAGCCCTAAAGCATGTTCAACTGGTCTTATATATAGGGTTCAGTGAGTTAGACTGTCACTGGGACCTTCACTCCAGTATACCGAGCGTCTAGCAGAGTGGGACAACAAGAAAAGCATCCTAATGATAAGATCTGATCATGATTTTATTGCAATTAGTATTTCTGTTTATAGAGTGTAGTAATATACACAGTAGGCATAGTCTGTGACTAATATTTATATAAAACAAATATTTTTTTACCCAGATGATGGATAGATAGCATGTTTTGGCAAAATATTGCCATACGATTCCGTCATAATGAAGCGGTAAATGCCATGCACGCATCCAAGACGACTGAAGTCTTAACAGAGATTTTCAGACTGCTTTGATACACCGGTTTTCACCACTGCATTTTGGTATAAACATTACAACAGTTTCATCTCTAAACTCTGTCCCGCTTTAAAGTCAGGTCCAAATTTTGACTACACATAATCTGTCTGTACTTTACAAAACAACTTGTTCAATGACGAAACACAATATCCACGTAAACACTCGTAACATCATAAAACACATTGCCAAGTTTACGGAAGTTGTGAAGAACCGGATGTGAATTTCAGTTCACAACGCAAGCGCAGCGGAAGTGCATATTGTAATGGCTGCGCCCATGGTTGACTTTCCGGAGCATGATCGGCGAAGTTTTCTTTCCTCTGACAAGAAAGTCATACTCCACTTAACGATTTAATGTTCAAATAAGAACATATTTACAATATTCGAATTGCTTCGTGACGATAAGAAATAAGTTTTATCTTCATAACGAAAGTTTGCATACAGCTGGGTTTTTTTTCTCTCCATTCATTCATTCAGTCTATCACCTCATCATCTCAATATATTCGTACAAGGTGTTAGGAAGCTTGATAATGGAGACATACACCGTGCAGTTTTTCTAGGTGTTAAACTTACATGCATTTGTCATTATGTTGTCGATTTGTCATGGTGTGTATAGCAGTAAATGAACATGGACAAAATATAACTTTTTTGACAACTTGCCAAATGTAGTTTTCAGTCTGTATCCAATAAGTGTGTGAACTGAGACAATGGAGAGCAGTAATGCTGGACCAGTAGTACTGCAAACTTTGGCTAATGCATGCAATCAAAATGCTTGCGTGTTTAAAACAGCAGAAAAACAACTTCAGGAATGGGAGATTCAGCCAGGATTTTATGCCGTTTTATCTGTGAGCAAATTTCAACCATATGTACTATATTGAAGAATTATATATCATTTCAGTTGTTTTCTCATTTTTTATTATTACAATAAAGAAGACATTTGTAATTTGCAGTATAATTGTGCTCTAATAGATGTCAGCTGCTGTGACTTGTTGCATTTTATTGTTTTGTAGGAAATATTTTGCAACCATGAGGTAGATGTGAACGTACGATGGCTATCTGTGATGTATGTGAAGAATGGAGTGGAGAGATATTGGAGAAGGAATGCTCCAAAGTTAGTTTTTGGTTGCAAATCATGTTTACAAAATATATTGAGGGACCAGTAGAGCTTACAAATCTCTATGAAGCAATATTATTTCATCTAATTCAATTTATTTTAAATTGAGCTGTAAAGGACAACTTCCTTTAAACTTTGATTTCACAAGACAAAATTTCATGTATACATCAATAATTTGGAATAAGATCTTATTCATTCTGTTATGAAATTACTTTCAAAGAGGTTTTTTTTCCACTGAGATAAATAGTGTTTTGTTGTTGGCCTAATTTGTTTTTTAATATGTGAAAATATGTTTTTATTTGCTAACTTGTCTAATGTAGGTAAATGACAAGAATTGTAGGGTATGGTAAGGTTATTATTTAAAATGTGTTTTCTTTGTCAGTGCAATTGCTGAAACAGAAAAGGAAGGGATAAAACAAAGACTGCTGTCCAATTTTACAGAACCTGTACATCAGGTAGAACACTAAGATATTGTTTTGTTTATAGATTAAACGCTAATGTAGACCAATTACCGGTCCAGTATATGTGCTACATAGCTACAATATTAAATGTATACATATCTCAGTTTAAACTTTGGTTTCTTAAATGTTGTACATATTCTTACAGATATATAATGTAATGCAGTAGACTTGTACACATATTTTAATATGTAGGGTCACATTTTGACAAATTAATTTGGTATTGTAATCTATTAATACAATTGTACATTGATATTTACGTAGATAGATGTTTGTTGTTTGATGTTTTTTTCATTGCCAGTTTGCGTCCCGTCTCCAGATCATGCTATTCCTAGTATGATTTTCCCTATCCTAATTATCCTACGGCTATTGATAAATAATCACTTAGGAAGATGAATTTGGCCAACATGTTTTATTTGTTCAGATTGCTACACAGCTGGCCGTCCTGATTGGAAAGATTGCACGGTTAGATTGTCCGCGGTCCTGGGCCCAGTTACTGCCCACATTGTTTCATGCTGTGCGCTGCCCTGACCACCTGATCCAAGAGAGAGGGTTACTTGTATTGCACCATGTCACGAAGATGCTGGCTTCAAAGAGACTGTCACATGATAGAAAACTATTTGAAGAAGTAGGTTTTACTTGTTTATTAATAAAGTAATAATGGCTTTTAGGATTTTAAATTCTGTAAGACTACAGTTATCATTTCAGTTTCTGGATTGATTTATTGAGAACCCTTTGCAAACTTGTTATGTACACATGCATCGTAAATAATACTTAATCATTTTGTGTTTTTCAGTTGACCAATGAGATTTTTGGATTTGTCCTGCAGCTGTGGCAGAATCACTTACAAGATTTTCTCCAGGCCGCGTCGAAACATGATGACAAGATGGGACAATCCCTGGACAAGGCTTTACTGGCCTGTAGGAGTAAGCTGGCCTTATTATATTGTCAGAACTTGATTTTCTCCAAAGGCGTTTAATAGAAATGAAGCCATTTTGATAATGATATGTCATTCAAAGTTTTCCTTCTGTCAGGGCCTTTTATGAGGTATTCAAAATGGGATTTAGGGACTTTGGAATGGAAATTTTTGAACAGAAAAACAGGTTCATGTGATATTAAGAAAAATATGGTAAACATTAACTATTAAGTCTAATGCAAACTTGTTTCAAATTAGGAATTTTCATCTTAGAATTTCGAAATTTGAAGTCGATTTGCTATCAAAAAAAAGATTTAACCTGTTTTTTTACAAAGAAAGGATGCAGTGATTATGAATATATATATATATTGGATCATACTGTCGTTATTACTTATGATACCTATATATATATATAAATGTATATAGAATCAAAATGATTAAATGTTCATGTGAAATAGATAAGCATTGAAAAAATATTCAAAACTAGCAACATTCACCCTTTACAGAGCTCTTCAAACCTGTGAAGGGTGAAAGCTGCTGGTATACAAGTTGGTCATTAGAACTTTTTTTTCTTCTATAAGTCTATAAATATGTCCTATTCATTTCAGTTTTAAGAAAACAAATTGCCTATGGTTTCAAGGATCCTGCCTGCAATAATGACGCCAGTAATTTCTTGAGCCAAATATTTCCCAGTATGAAGAGTATGCTTGGTTGCAGTACGTATCGATGTATACCAATATTTACACAAAAAAATCAGAAAAAGAAAAAAGAAAATAAACCAACAAGTTGATAAATGAAGTAATACTTTACATGTTGCTGCATAAATTGACATGACACTGTATTAGGTCTATAAAATGACAAAACAATACGTTTCTAGCTACCGGTATATACAGAGTTACTCCCATTGACCTTGTTTCATCTGTTTCGCCTGACAGGACAGAGCATGTGGGGACACCACTTTATTCTGGAGAAGTGTGAGAAGATGATCATCCTTCTAACTAAAGTGGTAAGTGGTCAGATTTGGGGTTGGATGTGGGTGTCTTTCGAAAGTGGTGACAATAAAGCATTATAGCTCATCACAGATAATTGCATTATATTGTTGACTGCAATAAAGCATCATAGCACAACATAGAGGATGTAACTCATTATCCTAATAACTTGTACAGTGAATGATATTGGTCAGTATTGACTTAAAAGAGAGAATAAAAGTCTGTTAACTCTTAAAATCCTTCCTTATCATTTGTACATTTCAGCTGCTGGACATTCTCGAGCTCCACCCTGTTTCCTACACAAGCCTTATCAGGCCCACGCTAGAGTTTGCTGTCAGCTACAACTTCTCTGAGAATGAAAAGGGTATATATGATCCTTAATATTGATGTAGTTTCAATTTGGAGAATTACACAGGTCTCTAAACCCTAAGGATTTATCTGAACATATTGATATGGGATTTTAAAGTTCAAAATTTTATTTTACCACGGTTCCAATTTTATTTTGGCCCACTTACTTTTATACAAAATTGGTGTTTATTCTTGTATTCAGTACCATGAAAGTAATAATGTTTGCTTATTTTGTATTAACTAAATCTTCTGGTATTAACACCCTTTGGAACAGGAACATGTAAGTTGACACACCATTGTACATATGCAACAAAATATCCTAGCTGAATACAAGAATGAAAGTTCAAAATTTTACACACACAATTTATGTACCTTTAAAATTCTACTTATAACAATGTTCATTTATGTTTTCATGTACTATAACAATGTTCATTTATGTTTTCATGTACAGTGTTTTTCAATTTTCAGGGTTGTTGTTTGAAAGATTTACCGTAAACACCTTTAACTTGATCAAGGGAATCCTGCAAAACGAAATGTACAGACCTCTGAAGAATGAAGAAGGTTGGAAGTTTGAAACATAATCAAAATGCCAATAATATTTTATATTTTAATGTCAGAAGCAGTTATTGATCAAAATAGTGAAAATTGTATAAAAATATAGCTACAAAATGTACTACATGAAATATCCTTATTAGGTAATCAATCGAATAAGTTACATGCTCTTACGGAATTTGTAATCTGTCCTACTGATCACATCTAGAGTTTATTTTCTTGTGTTATGATATAGTTTTGCATTTTGAAGCTATGTCTGTGATAAAATTGAAGGATATCAACTTTTCCTCATATAATAGAAACTATTATGGTATAAGCAAAAAATATCTACATCTACACTACAGAATTTCGAATGTATGTCATTATTCTTGTGTGAAAATATTGAAACAATATTTACAAGACTGTTTATGAACAAGACCCAAAGCCAAACATCTGTGTTACATGCATTTTGGTATTCTCTCAATAAACTCTGCCTACATGAGTGTGCTTACACTAAACCTTGTCACACACAACTTTGTTTACATGATTGTTTTTTCCCTTGTCAGTACCTGCATGATTTTAAAATGATATGTGTAAGATCATTCTAAAGTATGTAGGATGTTTATGAAAACGCCTTTTTGTGGTTAAAGAATCTCCGGAGCCCGGAAGACAGGAAGCATACAAGGTGAAGGTGGAGTTCTTTAACTACGACACGTTGTCCGAGATGTGTCGCCGTCTGGTGTCCCAGTACTTCCTCCTGTCCGGAGACGACTTATCCACATGGGACGCAGACCCTGAGGAGTTCTGTATGTTGTCAATCTCACTGTTTACTGGTCAGATAGATAGATATCGTAGAGTGGAAAAGATAACTCTGTCTGATAAGAATTCACTTTAAAGCTTTAAGCTTGATGTGTCATACATCATTTGTCTCCGATCCTTCCTCAAAGAGCACTTTCGTTTTATAAGTCATAAATTATTTCACATGTTGCTATATATTGTTGAGGACTTACCCAGGCCTGATTTGATAAGAGTTGGTTAACTATAATACAGGTTTAGCTGTAGAAAGTATGCTGAGGGCTTAGATGTTGTCATTGGATAATATCAGGACTATGACAATTTTGATGCTTTTCAGGTCAAGAAGAGGTTGGAGATTCTTACAGATATTCCTTACGAGTAAGTTATTTATAGCAAAATTAAGAAACAACTCAATAGGGGGAAGAGCTTGGGGGAAAATAAACAAAGGCTGCTTCTCAGATAACTGTATTTCTGACATTTCTAAATCAAGATATATATATATTCCATAATACAATGGATCATGCTGTGTTGATCATATCTATTCTACCATATGAATATATAACTGAATGTCAACCCTATATATGATAATATTTAAGGAGTAGCAACCCTTTCAGTTCTTGGATCTCCATAAACTGTATGTTTGTATTTCCTTCTTGGATCTTGATAAACTGGAATGTTTGTATTTCCTTCTTGGATCTCAATAAACAGTGTATGTTTGTATTTCCTTTTTGGATCTCGATAAACTGTGTATGTTTGTATTTCCAGCCGTGTACAGAAACCCTCTACATGGCGCTGTTTAAGGAGTACAGATCCTCCCTGATCCCCGTACTCCTACAGATGGTCCAGTCTGTACAGGCACCCTGTGATCCTGAGGACATGGCCGCCATACTACGCAAAGATGGAGGTATAAACCAACCTGTTTATTGATTTATTCTTTTCACTTTTCTGAATTCTTTAAAGCTCTTTCACATAAGTTAAGTCTCTTGAATGTTAATTTGATTGTACTTGTTGATTTAGCGTATAAAACCCGACTCTTTGTACGTTGGTATAGATTATGAAAAATAAATATAATTTTTAGCGAACATTTTTGTAATTTATAACAAATTTGTGGTTGTTTTCCAGTGTATAATGCTGTTGGTCTGGCATCTTTTGATCTGTTTGATGACATCAACTTTGACGAATGGTTTACTTCCCACCTGCGACAGGAACTACAGATCAAACATGTCAAGTAAGTCTTTAACTAGGACAATTCTCAATCATAGTTTTAGGTAAGTCTGCAAAATATTTCATATGTAAGGTACTCTTTTTATAAACAAAGCAAAATTTTCCCTGTGGAACAAAAACAGTAATATATATTTAGAGAGGTTGTGCAGAAATTAGTCACAAATGCTACCACATTTCTACTATGATATGTGATAGTTATATTCATCACCCTCTGGGGAACCTATTTTTAAAGGCTACTTTTGAAAAATAGCTGAACATATTTCAACATTACTTTGTTATAATCCTCTATAGGCCAGTGGGGTTTAGTTTTGTGTATGGTTTCTTGTTAAGAACACACTTACCTGGTGTAAGAATTACAGAAGTGGAGATAGTATACAAGATGTGTTTTCTGCTTTGACAGTTACAGGATAATTCGTCGGAGGGTGATATGGCTGTGTGCCCAGTGGGTTGGTGTGAACATGGCTGTGGGGACGCGCCCGCTTCTGTACCAGGCTGTGCTGCCTCTCCTCAACAAGGAAGAGGATCTGGTGGTACGGATAGAGGCTTCGCTCACTCTTAAAACTGGTATCCTTTGTCACTGTGTGTCTAACAGGTATTGATAGCACAGGATATAATATGATATGATTTCTGCCCATTTGGCTAAACCACACACTTTTGAATGACCAATACCTACGTTTAAGGTCACACGGGCCAGACATGTTTAAAAACAAGTTTCTGTCTGACACTATCTGACTTGTAGTGTAATCTTGCTTAGAGTAAATTTGACCTTGACCTACATTGAATACACATATATGTGAGATGTTATTGCCAATACCATTTATTAATAAAAATGTGTGTTGCAAGCCCCATAGGCCTCGTTTATTATATTTGTTTGACCGACATCATTTGAGTTCATTGTCAATACTGTTATGGGTTTTTTTAATAAGAGAAATCATAAACAGAGAATGAGTGGGCCAATGTGTATATTTTCGGTCTCAAATTAGTAATTTGAGTTTGTATGAAAATAAAAGCATGGTGTATTCAAATGTTTACAATTCCAATCCTTATCTTTCAATCAGCTGTGGATGATTTTGAATTTAATGTTGAACAGTTTTTACCTGTAAGTATAAACTACCTCTCACCTAGACCAATCCTGCTATCAAAGTACTTTCTATATATATATGTTTAGTTAATTCTTGTTATTATGTAGGTGATGATGATTTAATTTGTAACAGTCACTATCCAGACTTCACGACTATAAGTATCCTATGCATCTACATTATTTAAAATTGATTGATCAGAGCAATTAGGATAATGCAAAGACGTTTTTGGACTGATTCCAATTATCATGATTATTTAGGTTGCAATTTTCTGCAAAGAGAAGGAAAGGAAACTATAACCAATAGACCTGAAATCTGCAAAAATATATTCATCCAAATTCACCATTTTAGCAAATCCATGAATAAGAGAGACTTTTATTGTATTTGCTAAATGAATATTTTTCATGATAATATTTCATGCAATATAACAAATATGCCAATTCTTCTGCGTTAAGTTTAATCTACGGTAAGTTATCCTCAATTGTTTAAAATGCTCTAGATATTTCATTTGTTGTGTTATAAGACCAGACCACCAATCTGAACTGATTCTTTGCTTCCTTTACAGTACCTTAATGCTTCGTTCTCTATGTTGTTTGAACTTCTTCAAGAAGTGCGTGAATGTGATACAAAAGTAAGTATAAAAACTGATTTTGTAACGGAAACACTGACATTATAACAGAAACACTGACATTATAACAGAAACACTGACATTATAATGGAAACACTGACATTATAGCAGAAACACTGACATTATAACGGAAACACTGATATTATAACAGAAACACTGACATTATAACAGAAACACTGACATTATAATGGAAACACTGACATTATAACAGAAACACTGACATTATAACGGAAACTCTGGCATTCTAGTGAAATGACAGCATTGTAGTGGAAATGTTAACATTCTAATAGAAACATCAATGTTTAGATTTTTGCGGTTGTCCCTCTACGTGAATCAGAAACCCTCTCCCAAAACCAATCGGGACAAAAGTTCAACCATAGCTCTTTATTCACTACTCACTAAATTGGCAAGGTGTCCATCCATTATTTGAAAAGAAAGTCAGAAGATCTCAAAAAACAGCCAGATGCACAACCAACTTTTTGGAAAACAAGCTATATTTTATATGCTTAGGGAGATAATTATATACCTTACATTTAATCTGACAGATAAAAATTAAAAGTACATGTATATGCAAAAGTATTATAACATATTTTGTTTTTTGTCCAGATGCAAGTGCTACATGTGATATCGTTTGTGATAGAGAGGGTGGGGGCCCAGATACGGCCCCACACCTCCTCCCTCATCCAGTACCTCCCGTCCCTGTGGCATGAGTCAGCTGACCACAACATGCTTCGGTGTGCAATACTCACCACTCTTATACATATTGTACAGGTAAGTACTGACCACTCACACACATTGTACAAGTAAGTACTGACCACTCACACACATTGTACAGGTAAGTACTGACCAATCTTATACACATTGTACAGGTAAGTGCTGACCATGCACACACATTGTACAGGTAAGTACTGACCACTCACACACATTGTACAGGTAAGTACTGACCACTCACACATATTGTACAGATAAGTACTGACTACTCACACACATTGTACAGGTAAGTACTGACCACTCACACACATTGTACAGGTAAGTACTGACCACTCACACATATTGTACAGGTAAGTACTGACCACCCCAACTATAGGGGTTTGAGTCTATCTGCATTAATATATTATCTGACTTCATGTTCACAGGGAATTGAGTCTATAAGCACTAAAATATGTGACTTAATTTCCACAGGGTTTTGGGTCCATCAGTTCTGACATGTATGACTTCCTGCTGCCCATTATCCAGATGAGCACTGATGTAACACAGGACCAGCACATCTACCTAATGGAGGATGGCCTTGAACTCTGGCATGTGACCTTGCTCAATGCACCAACCATAACAGAACAGCTGCTGCAGCTGTTCAAGAACATGGCAGGCCTGCTAAGTATGTTATTATACTCTCCACAAGAAAGTTAGGGGATTTACAGGTATCGGTTTTTCATAATCAAGAATTGATGCAAATTTATATTTTTGCAAAAATACTGTTTTCTCTGACTATTGTCCTGTTTTCAATGTTACCGTCTTGACTTGATGTCATCTGTCCTAATCTGACATCACAGCAGGTGGATGTATCGTAAATCACTTCAGTTTAAATGCAAGAAGTTTTGTGTTAATTTGTGTGAAAATTCATTCACAAATTTTAATTTTAATTTTTAACTCAAACATTAATTCAATGGATAGTTACTATCAAGGTTGGAATGACATCTTCCAAATAACTAATTCAAGTTCAAACAAAACCTACAGGTATAGGGTTCATGAACTAAAATTACTGCATTAGTCCTGCTTTCACTGTGGAAAATTGTAGTTATGTGATCAGCCCCAATGTACCGAAAACAAGCCATTCCTTCAAAATTAAGGTCGTTTTTGGACCTTATAGGCTCTAATGACTGAGATATAGGATGAAAGTGTTAATAATTGCTCTGTAGTAATACCAAAAGACAGTATCTTATCGGCACTAGTTTGTGTGACCAGGTATGGATTTGTAATTTTTATGTTGTCTTGTAGCATTGGGAACTGAGAACCTACGAACGTGCCTCAAAGTCATACAGGCTTATATAGTGCTTGGTCCAAGGGATTTCATGCAGGTAAATAAATTAATTGTAAAACTAATAAAGCTTTCATTGTGCTTAGTGCCTTGGATAGCATGCAAGTAAAGAAATTGTTAGAGTGCAACAGGGTTACGTAGTGCTGGATCCAAGGGATTTCATTCAGGTAAATAAATTGTAAAACTAATTATACAAGCTTTCATAGTGCTTCTTGGTGCCTTGGCCACATGCAAAAACTGAAATTGTAAGAGTGCAACAGGTTTGCATAGTGCTGGATATAAGGGATTTCATGCAAATGGAGAAACGGCAATAGTTACATGGGCTTTCATAATGCTGGGTCCCAGGAATTTCATGCAGGCAGAGAAATTGTAGGCAATGTAAAGGTTTATTTAATTCTTGGTCCGAGAGACTTAATACAGATAAATAAATTAAATACTAACGTGAAACAAGCTTACATAATGCTCCGTCCATGGAATTTCATTCAGACAGGGAATCGTAGAATATCAAAGGCTGTTTTAACAATAGACAGATACGGATCAAAGGGAGAGTGTTTTTCTTTGTTATGAATTATAAAGTAGTAAATTGAAGTTGCTAGTTGATACATGCAGTGTCCTATAAAACTAGCAATGACTCAGAGTTGGAGCAACCAACCCCACCCAAACCCCTTTCCCCATTTCTCATTCATCTGATTTCATATAAAATAAACTCACTGAATACCGGGTAAGACGTAATGTGATATGTAACATAACAGGATGTGAAGCAGTAAAACAAGACACACACATGTTGCTGAATGGAGTTGTAAATTGGATGTCACTGTTTGGAAAAGAAACCTGTGGACCCTATTCTGAGCAGAGAGTTTTAAAGTAGTGTTTTTTCTGGCTATTTTCTAGAGATTTTCCTCAGAGTTGGCCATCGCTCTTACAAGTATGATATCAGACCTACGTACTGAGGGCATCGTTCTTATTTTACGTGTGAGTATTTCATGTTTTGTGTATATAATGGTTAAACATTGAGACACTCTTTTGTCCGACTTTTCTTCAATAGAGATAATTTCCCCGTAAAAGCTCATTCTTCAGATTAGGACTATTTTACTACTGCTCTGGATTTAACTCCTGGGCAGAGAATGATAATAGCCTAAAACTGACAACTTAATACATCATCTGGAAATCTGTATAAAAAAGCCCTTTGACTGGAATTGGTCCTGCTGTGTCTTAAGTATAAACTAGAGAATGATAAAAGCCTAAAACTGATATCTTAAAACATCATCTGGAAAGCTGTATAGAAAAGACCTTTGACTGGAATTGGTCCTGCTGTGTCTTAGTATAAACTAGAGAATGGTAATAGCCTAAAACTGATATCTTAATACATCATCTGGGAAGCTGTATAAAAAAGCCCTTTGACTGGAATTGGTCCTGCTGTGTCTAAAGTATAAATTGAACCTGTAATCTGGAAACCTGTCTAGTAAAATACAAGTCTGTTTATAAAAAAAAAAGGAACTATAATTTCAGGATATTTTGAGTTAGAAATAATTTCTGTACTGATAAGCTGTTATTTTTCCATACCCTGTTTTAACACTATCTTTAAATGTCCATTCCCAGGTGATAGAACTGGTCTTTCAAAGTTTTCCTTCGGAAGGTCCTGAGGTATTCCGTCGACTTCTGCCAACTCTCCTGAAGGCAGTCATAGAAGGGGATGTAAGTATTACAGTTAGGGGATGTAAGCATTACAGTTAGGGGATGTAAGTATTTCAGCTAGTGGATGTAGGTATTACAGTTAGGGGATGTAAGTATTACAGTTAGGGGATGTAAGTATTACAGTTAGGGGATGTAAGTATTACAGTAAGGGGATGTAAATATTACAGTAAGGGGATGTACATATTACAGTTAGGGGATTTAAGTATTACAGTTAGGGGATGTAAGTATTACAGTTAGAGGATGTAAGTATTGCAGTTAGGGGATGTACTGTTAGTAGTATATTTTTTCCACCTGAATTGCCAAGCTTTCACAAATCCTAACTTGCTTTGCTTCCATATATGACGAAGCGTAGGGGGTTAATTGGCAACTTCAAGTTTCATTATTGTGGTATATCTGCACCTAATTAGTATATGTACAGACAGCAGGCTACATTGAGATCAGGGCTTTCATTTGACTCTTGGCATTTAGCAAGTTCATAATTCTAAGTACTTTTATCTTTAAATCTTTAAATCATGTCAAATAAGATATCTTTCCAAATCCAAGAGTCAAAGCTAATTTTGAAGAGTCAAAAAGATAGTTTCAAGGGTCTGTTGAAACTTTATGTAATATCCCCATTACAATTGGCATTTTTATGTACAGATTTAACTGAAATTATGCACTAACCAAATGTTTTCCTATTACAAAGTTACCTACTGGTGATTGTACGCTTTGTTCCCACAGGATCACCCAATGGTACTCACCGTCTACCTTGGATTATTTGCGAGAATGTTACTTCAGAATCCAGAGTTCATGTGGAAATTCCTCAATGAAGTGGCTCCAGAATTTGGCAAACCAGTGAGTTGTCGGACCTTATAGTATACGATGTTAAAGACTTGGGTATCATGCTACAACTTCAGTTTACGTTATATTGTATATTTCCTGCATCTAATGTATTTATGGCATGTTGTTAATCACATTGTCTAACATATCAATCTCATGGGAGATGAGTCAGTGGCTTAATCTTACTCAACTCTATAAATAAAGTCTACTATTAAACATAAGTTCCAGCCGCAGTAAGCCATGAGGTACAATCTTATGACAGTGTTTGGACCCCAGAGTGCTGGTAGACAGGGTTCAACATCCGGCATAATAGGCAACTTATGTCAGATCTGGTTTATTTTAGGACAGCCCTTATCCGAAGTTTTTTGACTACATCAAACTTAATGTTGTATGTTTGTATGTGAAATAAAATAAAGAATAATTGGATAGATACCTTCCAGAGGCCACCACTGTTCTAGTACTCTATCATGTATACAATACATCTATGTGCTAGATAAGGTTTAAATATCTTTAACGAGTCATGATCATTTAGCACAAGTCCATATAAATCTTTAAGTAATGGGGGAAAACTAAATAAATTGAAATTAGCATTGTTAATCTTACATTTGCAAACTTAATACAACAAATTTCTTGCTTTGAACTTTGTGCAAGAAATAAAAAATAAAAAAAGACATTAAGGTTCTTGTAGCAAGCATTATACGGATTTTCAATGTGATTAAATGTATAACATTTCTTGTTTCTGATGACAGAGTGAGGCACTGCTGGGTGACATTGTGGATATGTGGGTGAATAAGATAGACTGTATGGCGCAGCCTGAACGACGCAAACTCATAGCACTAGGAGCCTGTTCACTCCTGTCTCTCAAACTAAAGTATGTATCTATGAGGGGCATTGCATTGCAGTAGGAACCTAGGGGTCTGTTCACTCCTGCCTCTCAAACTGTGGTTTTTATATCTATGGGGACATAGAACTGGGGGCCTGTTTTCTTCTTTCTTTCAGTGTCAGGTTTTAATCTGTCGCCTTTGGGTACCTTTTTGCTTCTATCACTACGGTCATGTGAATATGTACAAAAATTACTAAAATATTTCACTTAAACTGGAGCTCACCCTTTTCAGTACTTCAATCTTTTTAGAGTTTCAGGGTCTGTTATCCATTATACCCATTACCAGGTATATGAATTCAACTGGAATCTTTGCAAGAAAAATGATCAATGTGGAAATAAGATATTAACAACTTCAATGGGCAAATCATTCTAAATATGCACATGGCGGACACCTTTTTAAAGAAGGAATAATCAATTGTTTCAAAAATAATCACAAGTTATTTTTGTTGTTATAGCACTGTAATGGAGAAGTTTGCTGAGATAGTGTGTCTGAGTGTGGAGGTACTACATGACGTAAGCACTATACCTGTCGACGAGGACACTGCCCTACAGATGGAGTGAGTGTCACATATTGAAGTCGCAGTCAGTGATAAACCTACATACCAGTCCCGAGGCCAGTAATCATAGAATTTGATGGGACTCATAAGAATTTCTGGAAATACTGAAATTTAACATTGTGGGACCCATTGTTTTGAGCAATACAGTTGAAAAGGACCCAGGGAAAAAAATTGTAGATTGGTCACTGAACAGACATGCATACATTTATACACAGGCTATCATGCTCTCAGGGGAGTGTACCATACATTTAAACACAGGCTGTCATGTTCTCAGGGGAGGGTAGCATACATTTATACACAGGCTGTCATGCTCTCAGGGGAGTGTATCATACATTTATACACAGGCTGTCATGCTCTCAGGGGAGTGTACCATACATTTAAACACAGGCTGTCATGTTCTCAGGGGAGTGTAGCATACAATTATACACAGGCTGTCATGTTCTCAGGGGAGTGTACCATACATTTATACACAGGCTGTCATGTTCTCAGGGGAGGGTACCATACATTTATAAACAGGCTGTCATGTTCTCAGGGGAATGTACCACACATTTATACACAGGCTGTCATGCTCTCAGGGGAGTGTGGCATACATTTATACACAGGCTGTCATGTTCTCAGGGGAGGGTACCATACATTTATACACAGGCTGTCATGCTCCCAGGGTAGTGTAGCATACATTTATACACAGGCTGTCATGTTCTCAGGGGAGTGTACCATACATTTATACACAGGCTGTCATGTTCTCAGGGGAGTGTACCATACATTTATACACAGGCTGTCATGTTCTCAGGGGAGTGTACCATACATTTATACACAGGCTGTCATGTTCTCAGGGGAGTGTACCATACATTTATACACAGGCTGTCATGTTCTCAGGGGAGTGTACCATACATTTATACACAGGCTGTCATGTTCTCAGGGGAGTGTACCATACATTTATACACAGGCTGTCATGTTCTCAGGGGAGTGTACCATACATTTATACACAGGCTGTCATGTTCTCAGGGGAGTGTACCATACATTTATACACAGGCTGTCATGTTCTCAGGGGAGTGTACCATACATTTATACACAGGCTGTCATGTTCTCAGGGGAGTGTACCATACATTTATACACAGGCTGTCATGTTCTCAGGGGAGTGTACCATACATTTATACACAGGCTGTCATGTTCTCAGGGGAGTGTACCATACATTTATACACAGGCTGTCATGTTCTCAGGGGAGTGTACCATACATTTATACACAGGCTGTCATGTTCTCAGGGGAGTGTACCATACATTTATACACAGGCTGTCATGTTCTCAGGGGAGTGTACCATACATTTATACACAGGCTGTCATGTTCTCAGGGGAGTGTACCATACATTTATACACAGGCTGTCATGTTCTCAGGGGAGTGTACCATACATTTATACACAGGCTGTCATGTTCTCAGGGGAGTGTACCATACATTTATACACAGGCTGTCATGTTCTCAGGGGAGTGTACCATACATTTATACACAGGCTGTCATGTTCTCAGGGGAGTGTACCATACATTTATACACAGGCTGTCATGTTCTCAGGGGAGTGTACCATACATTTATACACAGGCTGTCATGTTCTCAGGGGAGTGTACCATACATTTATACACAGGCTGTCATGTTCTCAGGGGAGTGTACCATACATTTATACACAGGCTGTCATGTTCTCAGGGGAGTGTACCATACATTTATACACAGGCTGTCATGTTCTCAGGGGAGTGTACCATACATTTATACACAGGCTGTCATGTTCTCAGGGGAGTGTACCATACATTTATACACAGGCTGTCATGTTCTCAGGGGAGTGTACCATACATTTATACACAGGCTGTCATGTTCTCAGGGGAGTGTACCATACATTTATACACAGGCTGTCATGTTCTCAGGGGAGTGTACCATACATTTATACACAGGCTGTCATGTTCTCAGGGGAGTGTACCATACATTTATACACAGGCTGTCATGTTCTCAGGGGAGTGTACCATACATTTATACACAGGCTGTCATGTTCTCAGGGGAGTGTACCATACATTTATACACAGGCTGTCATGTTCTCAGGGGAGTGTACCATACATTTATACACAGGCTGTCATGTTCTCAGGGGAGTGTACCATACATTTATACACAGGCTGTCATGTTCTCAGGGGAGTGTACCATACATTTATACACAGGCTGTCATGTTCTCAGGGGAGTGTACCATACATTTATACACAGGCTGTCATGTTCTCAGGGGAGTGTACCATACATTTATACACAGGCTGTCATGTTCTCAGGGGAGTGTACCATACATTTATACACAGGCTGTCATGTTCTCAGGGGAGTGTACCATACATTTATACACAGGCTGTCATGTTCTCAGGGGAGTGTACCATACATTTATACACAGGCTGTCATGTTCTCAGGGGAGTGTACCATACATTTATACACAGGCTGTCATGTTCTCAGGGGAGTGTACCATACATTTATACACAGGCTGTCATGTTCTCAGGGGAGTGTACCATACATTTATACACAGGCTGTCATGTTCTCAGGGGAGTGTACCATACATTTATACACAGGCTGTCATGTTCTCAGGGGAGTGTACCATACATTTATACACAGGCTGTCATGTTCTCAGGGGAGTGTACCATACATTTATACACAGGCTGTCATGTTCTCAGGGGAGTGTACCATACATTTATACACAGGCTGTCATGTTCTCAGGGGAGTGTACCATACATTTATACACAGGCTGTCATGTTCTCAGGGGAGTGTACCATACATTTATACACAGGCTGTCATGTTCTCAGGGGAGTGTACCATACATTTATACACAGGCTGTCATGTTCTCAGGGGAGTGTACCATACATTTATACACAGGCTGTCATGTTCTCAGGGGAGTGTACCATACATTTATACACAGGCTGTCATGTTCTCAGGGGAGTGTACCATACATTTATACACAGGCTGTCATGTTCTCAGGGGAGTGTACCATACATTTATACACAGGCTGTCATGTTCTCAGGGGAGTGTACCATACATTTATACACAGGCTGTCATGTTCTCAGGGGAGTGTACCATACATTTATACACAGGCTGTCATGTTCTCAGGGGTGTGTACCTTACATTTATACACAGGCTGTCTTGTTATGATAGTGTACCATACATTTATACACAGGCTGTCTTGTTCTCAGGGGAGTGTACCTGACATTTATACACAGGCTGTCTTGTTATGATAGTGTACCATACATTTATACACAGGCTGTCTTGTTCTCAGGGGAGTGTACCTGACATTTATACACAGGCTGTCTTGTTATGATAGTGTACCATACATTTATACACAGGCTGTCTTGTTCTCAGGGGAGTGTACCTGACATTTATACACAGGCTGTCTTGTTATGATAGTGTACCATACATTTATACACAGGCTGTCTTGTTCTCAGGGGAGTGTACCTTACATTTATACACAGGCTGTCATGTTCTCAGAGGAGTGTACCATACACAATACACAGGCTGTCTTGTTATGATAGTGTACCATACTTAGATAACAAGGTTGCTAATGATATCTACTCTTTCTATTTCCTAGTTCCTTGGTGTTGTCTGATCAGGATGAGGCTGTAGAGGATGGTGAGCAGGACACAGAATTTGACAGACGCAAGAGAATGGTTAGTTACAATTGTAAATCATCATAAAGTTGTACTGTAGAAGTTGAGCACACATAATGAGGATTGTTTTTTTTAGTCATTGTAGTACAGTTCATGGTTGTATATACTAAAAATTGGAAGTGTTGGTTCCTTAATTAATGAAGTCCGATAACAGGTATATCGTATCGTATCACAATACGGAAAGGATATATCACTGTATCGCAATGTTTTTCAAAACCTTATATTTTTATGTATCAGCCAGGTGTTTAAGCTTTGCATATTAGTTTTACGGCACATTCAATCAGATATGAAGAAAAATTTAAATAGACTATTATTAGCGGTGGAAATTAGTTGAAATTTCATAGTCGGTGAATGAAACAGATTTGACAATTTCGTGAAACAAATTTAACGAAAATTTTAAATCTGTTTCGTTCACTGTAAATGATTCAGTTCATTAACTGATAAATGGAGAACCTTTTTTCTATGACAATATATCGGTATACCTATTACAATACACTCCTTCTGGTTTGCAATACATGTATACACTACAGGTGTATTGTAACACCCCTAATTAAGGCCAAACTAAAGTATCCAACCCTATATGCAGGTTGTTTATAGATATAAATTTCTCAGTATTTTCTATGTCAAAAAGTGATATGAAATCAAGGTCATTGATGCTCAATTTGGAAAATGAACCAAATGAAATCTGTAGCTTTAAAGTAGACACAACCTTTTTGTTTGGGATCTGAGTATGTACCCAACTGTCATAGACAGGTATTTAGACAGGGTGTTTATGAAGAGGGTATAAATGAAATTATTTTGAAGTCAAAAATAAATGATTAGATGGATCAAGTGTTTTAACTCATTGACCCCTGAAATTTCATAATGAACTATTCCAACCTTTGAATCGGAAGAGTTCAAATGTGTCTTCAGGGGTGAATGAGTTAAACAGAATGTCTTTATCTATTGTCAGTATTGAAACAGAAACATGATAGTGATTGGCAGTAGTTTGAAAGAGTGATGCTTATGTTGCAGCTGTGCCGCCAAGACCCAGTACACATGGTGCCGCTGAAGGAGTATGTCCTGTCCCAGCTATCTGCCTGTCAGCAGCTTCATGGCCAGGAAACCTTCGACAAACTCATGTCCCAAGTCGACCCAGAGATCTTGCGTCAGCTGCGCGAATTTTCCAGTTAATTGTGATCTTCAGTGGAGAGGTTTTTACCACAGCACTACGTATCCTGGAGCATCTCTGTGAATTATTCCATTCCCGGGGGTTACAGTGTGATTGAGGCTTTCAGCAAACTTATCTTTTCTATCCGTAGTGGAAATGGTCAAAATCTCTGAACAATGTGATGCAAGTCATATGACTTTGAAAATATTGAGAAGAGTTTGCTTTTTATAATTTACCTACTGCAGTAGGAACAGGAACCTGTAGCTTAAACTGTTGAAGCCTACACTTTGGAAAGACAATATCCGTTCAGAGAATACCACTGTTCTTTCATTTATGTGTCGGATAGCTATTTGCCAAGTATGTTTGTGTCATGTGTGGAAAATTGAATGCATCACCATAGGTGTTCAGAACACTTCTACAACACTTGAGTATGTCTTTAATAGGAGTGTGATGAATATTGGCCGCATGGAATTTTCATGGAAAGAAACTTTGGGAGGTGTTTGACAACTGTGTATTATGGATTGATAAATCTCAGCAACTTGACAGACGACAGGCGACCAGCGTTACAAACTGATGGTCGACAGGTGGCTTCGTAATGTGATTGTCAGGATTTCATTTAAAGAATGAAGTTTGGTGATGTTGGTATCATCAGTAACTGGTTCAGACAGTGATACAAAAAAGGGGGCATTTCGTAAGTTTAAGACAGATATTTTTCTGAGGAATTTCGTCTGCAGTAAACACTTGCTATACTGACGCCTTTTGTCCAGCATATTTTTGGCATTATAAAAGGATATGACTGTTCAAGTATATCAACCTGGGAGGCTGTATAAAGGACGTACGGTAGTAAGCAAGGTGGCAAGTGAAACGAGAAGAATTTCCTTGGAGTTTTACTGTGGTTTAACTTTCAAACAAGATGACAGAAATGCAAGCATTCCATTGGAATTAAGAGAAGAAATGGCTGAATATGTGATACATTGTGATTTGAGACAGTAATAGAATTGAAAATGTAAGCTGATTTGCTTTTTGTTTGTAATTTTATAAGCTGAGAGAGCAAACAATTATTATCAAAACACATTATGAAATGTACGAGAACTTCATGTACGCTTTAAATATGAAATAGGTAATTATGTACTTTTTATCATAGTATAATAATCATTGATGTACATTGGATATTAATGTATTGATTTTGTGAAATAGCTGTGGAAACTGAAGCTCAAAGTCTGATCCATTTTTAGCCCACCATCATCTGATGGTGGGCTATTCAAATCACCCTGCGTCCGTGGTCCGTCGCCCGTCCGTTGTCCGTCGTCCGTCGTCCGTCCGTAAACAATTCTTGTTATCGGTATTTCTCAAGAGGTACCAGAGGGATCTTTCTCAAATTTTATATGTAGGTTCCCCTTGGTCCTTAGCTGTGCAGGGCAACTTTTGAGACTGATCGGATAAACAACATGGCCGACAGGCAGCCATCTTGGATTTTGATAGTGAAAGTTTGTTATCGCTATTTCTCAAGAAGTACCAGAGGGATCTTTCTCAAATTTTATATGTAGGTTCCCCTTGGTCCTTAGCTGTGCAGGGCAACTTTTGAGACTGATCGGATAAACAACATGGCCGACAGGCAGCCATCTTGGATTTTGATAGTGAAAGTTTGTTATCGCTATTTCTCAAGAAGTACCAGAGGGATCTTTCTCAAATTTTATATGTAGGTTCCCCTTGGTCCTTAGCTGTGCAGGGCAACTTTTGAGACTGATCGGATAAACAACATGGCCGACAGGCAGCCATCTTGGATTTTGATAGTGAAAGTTTGTTATCGCTATTTCTCAAGAAGTACCAGAGGGATCTTTCTCAAATTTTATATGTAGGTTCCCCTTGGTCCTTAGCTGTGCAGGGCAACTTTTGAGACTGATCGGATAAACAACATGGCCGACAGGCAGCCATCTTGGATTTTGATAGTGAAAGTTTGTTATCGCTATTTCTCAAGAAGTACCAGAGGGATCTTTCTCAAATTTTATATGTAGGTTCCCCTTGGTCCTTAGCTGTGCAGGGCAACTTTTGAGACTGATCGGATAAACAACATGGCCGACAGGCAGCCATCTTGGATTTTGATAGTGAAAGTTTGTTATCGCTATTTCTCAAGAAGTACCAGAGGGATCTTTCTCAAATTTTATATGTAGGTTCCCCTTGGTCCTTAGCTGTGCAGGGCAACTTTTGAGACTGATCGGATAAACAACATGGCCGACAGGCAGCCATCTTGGATTTTGATAGTGAAAGTTTGTTATCGCTATTTCTCGGGAAGTACTGGAGGGATCTTTCTCAAATTTTAAATGTAGGTTCCCCTTGATCCCCGTTGTGTATGTTATATTTTGCGACTGATCATAAAAACAAAATGGATTAAAAGAAGAACTAAACAGATCTTTCTCATATTGCAATGATCAATTCTATTTCTTTCACATTAAGTACTGTGCTAGTGAATATGTGAAATGACAAACTCACTTTGAAGGTTGGCTTTCATACACATCAGTATTAAGTTTAGATCAAAAGTTACCTCAAGGTGCATTTACTGTTAACATGACTCGATCAAACAGATTAGAGGAAAGAAGAGAAAAGATTGAACTGACAAAGAACTAATGAAGATGGTACAAAGGTGGGCGCCAAGATCCCTCTGGGATCTCTTGTTTTTTTTAAATTTCAAATTTGACGGGAATGGTAGCTAAAGGTCTGATTAGTTTTAGATATATGTATAAATTCAAAAATTCAAAAAGAATTAATTGGGCTTTAGATATCTAAAATTTTAAAGTAACAAAATAATTGACTGGACCTTGAGCTGCAGTTCCGACAGCTGTTTGTTAAAATGTGACATATTTCTTTCTCTCATATTCATATGTATAGCACACACAATAGTCAGGTGTGTTGTATTGTATCCTACTTGGGCATGGCCATTCTCGTGATATTAGGATGATAACGCTTCTTGTATTCTGGAGTTGCTTGAATTTGAAGAAAAAAAGATCTTGAAAATATATATAAATATTAAACCCATGTGTAATTCAGATGTAAGTCTTTTTTAAATTAACATCATGTAAATTGCTTACTGATTGAGTTGTAAACCGATAACAGTGTATAAACCATGTTACAGTGTTAAAAGCTTGAAAGCATCGTAAGAAAGTCCCTTTAAAAACATGTATGGTGCAGTGTTGGTGACTTTATAGGAAAGTCCCTTTAAAAACATGTATGGTGCAGTGTTGGTGACGCTATTTAAGGATGGGAACTAAATTTAGTGTCACTGGACCATATATTGCTTTAGTTCCACAAAATATTTCAATGTGGGAAATATACTTTTTATTTATATCATGTTGAATTTTCAATTTATGAAACCGTTCTCATGCTCAAGCATGGTGCTCAAACCAGGGTTTTGTTGTAGCTTAATACAATCATGAGAAGATATCAGTAAGTAGATCGCCTACCCGAAAAAAACTATAGTTTTCTTCAAGGTTCACCAAAGATTGCCCAAATTGTTGAAAAAATTGTCAATTTAAATGATTTATCGGAACAAGTGAAATTTGGTTTTAACACAAATGTGAGTTTGTGCATGTCAGAGAACAATTTCATGAATACAAGTCCTGCTGGTAGGTTTAATGATTGTTGGATGTGTAGTGTTACCGAGCTACCAGTGTTCGTAGTCCTATTAGGATACCTGTACCACATAGTCCTATTAGGATACCTGTACCACATAGTCCTATTAGGATACCTGTACCACGTAGTCCTATTAGGATACCTGTACCACATAGTCCTATTAGGATACCTGTACCACATAGTCCTATTAGGATACCTGTACCACATAGTCCTATTAGGATACCTGTACCACATAGTCCTATTAGGATACCTGTACCACATAGTCCTATTAGGATACCTGTACCACATAGTCCTATTAGGATACCTGTACCACATAGTCCTATTAGGATACCTGTACCACATAGTCCTATTAGGATACCTGTACCACATAGTCCTATTAGGATACCTGTACCACATAGTCCTATTAGGATACCTGTACCACATAGTCCTATTAGGATACCTGTACCACATAGTCCTATTAGGATACCTGTACCACATAGTCCTATTAGGATACCTGTACCACATAGTCCTATTAGGATACCTGTACCACATAGTCCTATTAGGATACCTGTACCACATAGTCCTATTAGGATACCTGTACCACATAGTCCTATTAGGATACCTGTACCACATGGTCCTATTAGGATACCTGTACCACATAGTCCTATTATAGGATACCTGTACCACATGGTCCTATTAGGACACCTGTACCACATAGTCCTATTATGATACCTGTACCACGACAAAGAACTAATGAAGATGGTACACGTAGTCCTATTAGGATACCTGTACCACATGGTCCTATTAGGATACCTGTACCACATAGTCCTATTATAGGATACCTGTACCACATAGTCCTATTAGGATACCTGTACCACATAGCCCTATTAGGATACTTGTACCATGTAGTCCTATTATAGGATACCTGTACCACGTAGTCCTATTAGGATACCTGTACCATGTAGCCCTATTAGGATACTTGTACCACGTAGTCCTATTAGGATACCTGTACCATGTAGCCCTATTAGGATACTTGTACCACGTAGTCCTATTTTAGGATACCTGTACGACATAGTCCTATTAGGATACTTGTACCACGTAGTCCTATTAGGATACCTGTACCATGTAGCCCTATTAGGATACTTGTACCACGTAGTCCTATTAGGATACCTGTACCACATGGTCCTATTAGGATACCTGTACCACATAGTCCTATTAGGATACCTGTACCACATAGCCCTATTAGGATACTTGTACCATGTAGTCCTATTATAGGATACCTGTACCACGTAGTGCTATTAGGATACCTGTACCATGTAGCCCTATTAGGATGCGGGTACCAAGTACTCCTATTATAGGATACCTGTACGACATAGCCCTATTAAGATAACTGTACCACATAGCCCTATTAAGATACCTGTACCACGTAGCCCTATTAGGATACCTGTACCATGTAGTCTTATTAGGATACCTGTACCATGTAGTCCTTTTAGGATACCTGTATCACGTAGTCCTATTAGGATACCTGTACCATGTAGTCCTATTAGGATACCTGTACCATGTAGTCCTATTAGAATACCTGTACCACGTAGTCCTATTAGGATACCTGTAACACATAGTCCTATTAGGATACCTGTACCACATAGTCCTATTAGGACACCTGTACCTTGTAGTCCTATTAGGACACCTGTACCACATAGTCCTATTATGATACCTGTACCACGTAGTCCTATTAGGATACCTGTACCACATAGTCCTATTATAGGATACCTGTACCACATAGTCCTATTAGGATACCTGTACCATGTAGTCCTATTAGGATACCTGTACCACATAGTCCTATTAGGATACCTGTACCACGTAGTCCTATTAGGACACCTGTACCACATAGTCCTATTAGGATACCTGTATGACATAGTCTTATTAGGATACCTGTACCACGTAGTCCTATTAGGATACCTGTACCACATAGTCTTATTAGGATACCTGTACCACGTGGTCCTATTATAATACCTGTACCACATAGTCCTATTAGGATACCTGTACCACGTGGTCCTATTATAATACCTGTACCACGTAGTCCTATTAGGATACCTGTACGACATAGTCTTATTAGGATACCTGAACCCACATAGTCCTATTATGATACCTGTACCACGTGGTCCTATTAGGATACCTGTACCACTGCAAAAACTGTAACTACGCATTGGAAACTGTTTTCTCCTGCATCACTATGGCTTAAATTGGACAAATAATAAAGATGAAATGAACAAAACATGATCAACAACAGTCTTTGATTTTAAAATTTCTGTGGGGCTAGACTGGGATTTGAACTATCTAGTCATCAGAAGTGGTCTGGCCCAACTGTGCTACAGTTAGATCGAAAACGAAATTAAGGGGAGATTAAGGGGAGGTTACTGTATAAAAACGAAATTAAGGGGAGGTTACTGTATAAAAACGAAAAACCACAGTGCAGTGGGACAGGGATCTTTAAATAACCTTGATGTGAAAATTGCAGAAATTATCAGCTACCACTAAATGTGATATATACAGCAATATTTATCTTAGATATTTGGTGTACAAATCATTTGGATATCGGGATTGGAATGAAGCGGTAAATTTTGAGATACGCCACCATGGCGTAAGAGATGATCTTTTGATAAAATAGCAT